CTTGAGGTTAATCTCCTGCCAACCCATTGACATCAGCAGCACAGCCTCTTTGGTTTGTGTTTGAACCAAGTGAACTAAATTAGTTTTGGTTTCAAATACGAACTTCTGTTGAGATCACAAGAGCAACAACTCCAAGAGAATAGTCCAGGGAGGTGGCTTATCCTCGAATCGAAGGAATTTCCTCTCTCCGAGTTCCCATAGAGCCAAGGTGCTGACTGCAGGGACTAAAATCGCAGCTAAGCTTGAAGGAGAAGCTACGGATCCGGCGAGTAAATCACGAATAGCTTTTGGAAGCCCCCCGAAGATATGAGAATGTTGATTATTTACACGGACACAAGGCCCACAACAAAATAAGCGAAAAGAAAACAGATCTGAGCTAAAGAAACTAAGTTAACTCTTTGCTCTTTTTTCTTGTTGTATTTTTTCCTTCTGGCCAAAGTGTGAAGTGAAATGAAATTTGCGAACTTTGCGCTCCGGCCCCTCTTTTCCTTGATTAATAACAATTGATAAGCCAAGGAGTTGTTGGCCCAGAGACCTCGCTGCTGGCTGATGGCGTTGATTACCCGTGCCCAGGCCTGGGTCTCAGGTCCAGGCTCCTCCGGGCTCCTCCTCCATCGTCCGTTGCCATCGCGATGGCAGGAGGGAGTCCCGGAAACCCAAGGCAAGGTGGCAAAATTTTCGCGCGAAAATGAAGATTTCTCTTATCACAATTGGCAGCTGCATTCGCTCTCTCTCTCAGTCTTTCTTTCTTTTCTTTTTTTTTTTTTTTTTTGGGCTGTGCTCACTCACGTTTTTCAATTTCTGCTGCTGCTTCTCCTCTTGATCATCCGATTGCCTTTGCTGAAATTTGTTTAATTATATTCCCCGAGGAGCAGGAGGAGTAGGCTTCAAGGCAGTCGGTCTTCCGTTTGCAGTAGTCTTCCCTCGCACATTTTCTGGCTGACTAATGAGGCTGAGGTTCTGGGAGGAATGAGGTAATGCTAAGTTATAGACGGATGTTAAGGAACTCTAAGGATGTAATAGAGAAACTAAGGAATTGTACTGCAATGGGACTTGAAAGAGGCTTAGAAATGTATCTAATTGATTAACAGCTTGTCTTTACTTATTTTGAGAGAGTTTAGAGTTTAGCAAATATTATATAGATATTTATATCCATCCTCTCTGAGCCCCCTCATTATTTCCTCTTAAGGCGCACACATTATGCCTAAGCCCCACCAAGAAGGAGGAGCACCTCCAAGTACTTGCACCCAGCCAGACGCACTGGCGACTTGGCTTGCTTCCTCCCCCTCCTCAAGCCTTTCTAGGCACCTTTTGGATTATTGCCAGCACCATCTTCAGGGAGAGAGATCCTCGTTTTTTTCGGGTTAACTGACCCTGCAACGATTAGCAGCGGCGGCGGTCCGTGGACTTCAACCCAAACGACAAATGAACAAAGGGTCGCCTCCGCCTCCTCCTCGAAGGTTTCTGGCCAAGATCGGGCTACGTACTACGTACATTCTGGGTTCCAAATTGTTCGATTGTTTATGGCTGCCAACAACGCCCACCGAGCCAAGTGGCGGCCAAGTGAGAAACCGGCAACAATCATCTGCCGGCTGATAAACAGTGCGGTGCCCCCTCTCTCTCTGCCCACCTCCAGATGAGGTGAGTGTGTGTGTGTGTTTTTGTTGTGTCGCTTATCGGCGAGGATCGATCGCGAAGCCAAGGTGGAGAGAGAGACCCCAAGCCGAAGCCTCAGCCGAGGCCTCAGACGGCGGTTGAGCTGATTTAACAAATTGATAAACAATTGTTGGCGTTGGCCAAGGGGCTCCCTCTGCACCTGAGAGAGGTGTGCTGGAGGTGGGCAGGGGGGCAGGAGGGGCAGCTAAACAAACGATCGGGAAACGATCGCAGTTTTCAGCGAAAAAAGCCACTGCTGCATCATGTTCCCAGATCCCAAATCGATTTCGTATGCGAATGTGAATGCCAATAAGCGTAGCCTTGGAATTCCACCACGCACTGCCCAGGGGAGGTGGAGAGGGGGTTATGGAAAAAATAATAATAATAACAGCAACACCTTGTTGAGGATTTAAATATGAATTTTAGGGTTATTACCAAACTCTTTCGTCACTAAAATATTTAAAAATGAGGTTACAAAGCTACATCCTAAAAATGATTTAAAAACCTCTTGTAGAACCTCCTAATCTCTAGTTTCTGGAAGAGATTTCCTTGCCCAGAACCCTTAGTATTTGCAACAATGAAAAGTAGGAGCGGGTGTTGCGATGGCACTCGCGAGACAATCGCTGCCGGAGATCTGCTGCTGCTGCTGCTGCAGCACCAACTGAGAGCTGAGCCGGTGGACCGAAAACCAAGAGCTGAGAGCAGAGATCCCGAGCTAAAGCTAATCCTCGGCAGAGGCAGCTGTCGCTGGGAGGCAGAGCTGGGGTTCTCGGGGATCTTGGGGATACCGAAACCAAAACCGAAAGCCATTGTTAGCTGTTAGTCTCCCGTTCGCACTCTATCGGCGCTGGGCCATCTTCCCTGCTCCCTGCTTGGGCTCCCTGCTCCCGGGTCCTCTGCCCGGGACAAAACACTTTACGTGTGCGGCTTATCGCCACCCAATCGAAGGCAATAAATATCTTACAAATAAGCAGAATGCCTCGGAATGCCAGCGGAGAGCGGCGACCCAAGGGCAGGTGGCGGAGAGCTCCTCCGCTGATTCCTCTAACTGATTGCTCACGTGCAGAATTGTGTGAATTCGTGAAAAATCGACGGCGGCAATTAGGGCGGGCCCGTCAATAGTCGGTTCTTTATTTTTTTGTGCTGTATTTTTTGGCAACAGCAGCAATAGGATACAAAAAACATAAATAAGAACGTAATAAAATGGGAATAAATAAAAGAAAAAATTTCAAGAGATTTTACAAGGCAATCAAAAGACTTAGGCAACGAACTTGGCTTGTCTTGGAAAGAACTTATTTAAATGCCATATTAATTAATACATCTTATAATAAATAATTCGTATAAAAAAGGAAATGATATACCTAAAAACGAATTAAATAATAAATTAAACAAGAAAGAAAGCTAACTTTGGCCAGCCAAAGTTTGTATACCCTTGCAGGTAACAATTAAAATATATCATAACTTAGCCAAAAATGCATTAATTTCGATTTGGAAAGCAGTTTCGTGTTAGCTTTTATTAATTTAAAAAAACTGCATACCAAATTTAAAATTTTAAGAAATCAAAAATTATGGCCATTTTTGCTAATTTTAATGATGTAACCCCTTATCAAATTTCGCAAAAATGGCCAAAAAATCGATTTCTTCCGGACATGTCTAGAAAGATTCCCCTGTTGATGCTGATCAAGAATATATATGGTTTATGGGGTCGGAAATGATTCCCTTGACTTAGAAAAATATTATTTTGTATTATAAAATCGGATTTTTTATATTGAAAAACTTTAAAATTTTTTTTCTAATTAAAAATATCATAACTCGGCCAAAAGAGCATTAATTTTAAATCGGAAAACTGTTCTGTGCAAGATTTTCTACAGTTAATAAATCTGCATACTTCATTTAAAAATTTTGAAAATTCAATTTTTTATCAAAATCAAAAATTTTAATTATGTAACCCCTTATAAAATTTTGCAAAAATGGCCAAAAAATCGATTTCTTCCTGACATATCTAGAAAGATTCCCCTGTTGATGCTGATCAAGAATATATATACTTTATAGGGTCGGAAACGTCTCCATCACTGCGTTGCAAACTTCTGACTGAAATTATAATACCCTGCAAGGGTATACAAATTAAAAAATGATAATATTTTAACTAGAAATCTTCTATCCATCTTAATAATTCCCCTACCCTTTTAATAATTATTTTTTAAATTATTTAAAACTAAAATGTGTTAAAATCTCCAACGATTCCAAGCTGTTACCAATTCCCAAAAAAACAAAATGTTTTCCCCCTGAAGTACCTCCTCGCTTTCTCTTCTCTTTGGCCAAATAGTTGGTCCGCTCGCTCTGGATGTGCTGACATTTCAATAGCCAGCAATTGACAGGTCAACGCGCATTCTCTCCTCCGGTAGATTCTAGGGGGGATTGGGATCAGTTGGAGAAGCTCTTTGGGAGTTGTTTGGGAGTCGTGGTGGGCCCGCACGGAAAGGCAGGGCGAAATGTGTTCGCTGCCACGAGATGTCGAATTTCTGGCGAACCGAGGAGATGCAAAGCTGCTTATCCTGCCCGACCATCTCCATGCCACATGTGTGTGCCATGTCCACGTCCAGTGCCAGTGCCAGGCCGCCATAATCTCGGCCAGCATCGCCGTTGGTCGTTATAATATTTCGCCGTGGCCGAAAGCACACACACAACAGAACCGAGAGAACAAATCAGATGTCAGAGGCTCTCGGGATTTCTTCTTGGCCAACTTCGAACTTTTGCGGGCCCTAATCATCGGTGGCCACCATGAGCTTTTCCTTTGCTTTTCCACGTAAGAGATGGCCAAGCGGGATAAACTTCCCCGTGCTCTTCCCCTGGACTCTTGTCGCATTGTTTTCACAGCTCTTCTTCTGGTCAGCGACCACTGACCACTGACAATTTGTTCGATAATAATTGCCAAAGCAGCTGGCCTGACACATAGATTCCTCACGGGCAGAGACGGCGGTCTTCTGGGATTCTGGGAAGCCAATTTGAGGCACTAAACTGCCATGTGTGAGGAGATTTGACCTGGGGAGCAGATGCCCAAGGAGGGAAGGGGATATATCGAGGGAAAGGGGCTTCAAAAGATCTAGGATCTTGGAGAAATCTCTTATAATATATAAAGTTTTCTTTAAGATGCGAATTAATTCAGATAAAATAATATTTATATATTAATTATGGCTAGGAGTATCAGAAATTATCGTTAAGTCGATATTGTACCGATATTTGTGCAATAAATAATCGTAGATGTACGACATCTTTCGATACATTTTTTAAACAATTTTAAAGCCATTCTAATGAATTCACCTCTCTCTTCTTCAATTCTGCAGATTCCAAAGATTTGACCGCTCAAGAGATGGGCAGCGAGGAGAAGGAGCAGCAGCAGCTGGAGGATCAGCTGGATGACGACTCCCGGGATCTCCAAGAGACCAACAATAATAACAATAACAATAATAATAATAACGAAGATGAAGACGAAGATGACCAGGACGACGCTGTATTTGAGCAGCCAGATGAGACTAATGCCGCGCCTGATCAGGATCTGGGCGAGACCGATCCGCGGCAGGAGGAGATTGAAGACGAACTACCCGTCAACAGTCCCAGCACTCCGCCCAGGAGCAGCCCCTCCTCGCCGCAGCTGATACCCAAGCTGGAGCAGCCTTCGACGCCGCCATCCGAGGCCGAACCCTCGCCCTGTCCCTCACCCTGTCCCACGCCCACCAGCACGCCCAAGTTGCCCAAGCTGCGTCTGAATGCGCTCCTGGCCTCCGATCCCGCCCTCAAGCCCGATGCCAAGGAGCTGACTCTACCAGAGCCTCGCCTGCTGGCACCTCCGTCGGTGTCCATAAAGCCGGAGGCGCCGCCATCGCAGGCCGAGAACCTGGGAGCGGAGCCGCTGATGAAGCCAGCCCGTTTCATGTGCCTCCCCTGCGGTATCGCCTTCAGTTCGCCCTCCACGCTGGAGGCTCACCAGGCCTACTATTGCTCTCATAGGAACAAGGAGGCGGACGAGGATCAGGCGGGCAGTGACAAGTCAGTGACGGGCGGTGGATCTGCCTCCGGAGGAGGCGGGGCCGCGGGACCGGGAGGAGGAGGAGGAGGAGGATCCTCGTCGGAACCACCGGCCAAAATGGCCAGAACGGGCAAGCAGTACGCCTGCTCGCAGTGCTCCTACAGTGCGGATAAGAAGGTGTCCCTCAACCGGCACATGCGGATGCACCAGACCTCCCCGGCCACGCCCACCTTGGTCAGCCTGCCCAATCTCATCCAGAACGGCATACCACCGCCGCCGGGCGTCGTGGTCGCGCCCAACTCGCTGGAGGAGGCCTCTAGTCAAGTGAGTAAAGTGTTGTTGGGGTGCCAGGAGTCACTAGTAAGTTCCCCCGAGTCTAATCCCACCCCCAATCCCGCCCAGCAGCAGACGGATCGCTACTGCAGCCACTGTGATATCCGCTTCAACAACATCAAGACGTACCGGGCGCACAAGCAGCACTACTGCAGCTCCCGGCGGCCGGATGGCCAGCTCACCCCCAAGCCGGACACCTCTCCTGGCGGCGGAGGTGGTGGTGGCGTGGGACCAGGCCCATCCTCCTCCTCCTCGGCATCAGGTGGAGTCCCTGGAGCCACCCTGTCAGCGGCGGCTCCTGGCAAGCTGAGTCCACAGGCCAGCAGGAACAACAAGACGCCAACGCCCGCCATGGTGGCCTTGGGCCATGCCGCAGCGGCGGCGGCGGCGGCGGCAGCTGCAGCGGCTGCCTCTCTTCAGGCGCCGCCTCACCCGCCGCCGCCCTTTCTAGCGTTGCCCACGCATCCGATCATCATTGTGCCCTGCTCGCTGATACGGGCGGCCAGCTTCATTCCGGGGCCACTGTAAGTTTTCCCTTTATTACATTTTTAACGTCGTTAAAATATTGTTTGACCTTCCAGGCCCACTCCCAACTCGGGAATAGTGAATCCGGAGAACACCTGCTTCACCGTGGACAATGGAACCTTCAAGCCACTGGCCACCGCCCTGCTGGGTACTGCCCTAGAGCCAGAGCGACCCTCGGCACCCTCATCTGCAGCCGAGGTGCCAGAACCCAAGAGCAGTCCTCCCGAGCCCAAGCGCAAGGAGGCGGGCGGAAGTCGGTAAGAATCGTCTGGGAGATTCTTCAAAGATTAGGGAAGCTTACCTAATTCATACATCTTCTCCCCTTTAGAGAGTCTGCGCCCTTGGATCTCTCACTGCGCCGTTCGCCCATCTCTCTGAACTCGCTGAGCCTGCGGCAGCGACACCTGCGCTCTGCTCTCCTCGATATGGAGGAGGCGCTGCTGGGCAACGTGGGCAAAGAGATTGCAGAAACCTCGGCTGGCGGAAGCGTGACTCCCGAACAGATCGTGTGCGCTCCCTCGCTGCCCAGCAGCCCCTCGATGAGTCCCTCGCCCAAGCGGCGAACCATCAGTCCCCGGAGCTCTGGAGCCGGCAGCAATGCCTCCATGTCGCCACCTGGCCTGGGTGTGGTACCCAGCCTGCTGGACATGCGCTCCATGCTGCCAGCGGACTTTGGCTTGTCCGAATCCCTGCTGGCCAAGACCAATCCGGAGTTGGCCCTCAAGCTGGCGGCGGCGGCAGCTGCGGCGGCTGCAGTGGCCGGAGGAGGAGGTCCTTCCCAGGCGCAGGCTAGTGTAGGGAATCCCGGGGGAAGTGGAGCCACTGCAGGAGCCCCCCAGCAACCGCAGATATATGTGAAGCAGGGCGTGTCCAAGTGCAAGGAGTGCAATATCGTTTTCTGCAAATATGAGAATTACCTGGCGCACAAGCAGCATTACTGCTCCGCCAGGAACCAGGAGGGTTCCGCTGATGGCGATGCCAAGTCGGCTGTCTCGCCAGGAGCCGGCGGAGCCGGAGGTTCTAGCGTGGGAGGAGGATCAGAGCCTGCCACTTCGGTGGAAACAACACCGGTGGCGTACCAGCAACTCATCTGCGCCGCCTGCGGCATCAAATACACCTCCCTGGACAACCTGCGAGCCCACCAGAACTACTACTGTCCCAAGGGAGGAGCCACGGCTGGAGGAACGCCCTCAGATCCGGTCAAGGAGAAGTGTGGCAAGTGCAAGACCCTTCACGAACTGGGCCTCCCTTGTCCAGCGCCACTCACCAGTGTCCTGGCGGCACCCACAGCCAACTCCGGCTCCTCCTCCGCGAACTCCTCTTCGCTGGCCGCCGCCTCCAATAGCCTGAACAAGTGCCCTGTCTGTGGTGTGGTGAGTCCCACGGCGGCGCTGGCCAAGAAGCACATGGAGATGCATGGCACCGTGAAGGCCTACCGCTGCAGCATCTGCCAGTACAAGGGCAACACGCTGCGGGGGATGCGCACCCACATACGCACCCATTTCGACAAGAAGACCACCAGCGAGGTGAACGAGGAGCACTTCATGACTTGCATCTTTCAGGAGGAGGAGGAGCAGCAGCAGCAGCAGCAGGGTCGTGCAATCAGCCAGGAGCTAAGGGAGCAGGAGTCGGCCATGGATCATCCGCCGCAGTTGTTCAACTGCGATTACTGCAACTACGCCTCCACCTACAAGGGCAATGTGGTAAGTAGTAGGAGCCCCGTGATCTTGGAGAGCTTTTAACTGAGTGAGATTAAATCCTTGCAGCTGCGCCACATGAAGCTGCTGCATCCGCACGTGGCCCTCATCAGTTCCCCCTCGATTTCGCCGGAGTGCAGGGATCAGGATTCAGTGATCTTGAACTCGACAGCCAGCAACCAGCACTCCGAGGGCTCCAATGGCGAGGCAGCCAGGTAGGGATGAGGATTATGAATCTGCTTTTACAAACGAAGTTAATCTGAATCTCCCTTTAGCTTCCACATCAAGTCCGAGCCCTTGGATCCACCCTCGTCCACGCTGAGCCTGGTCCAGGAGAACAACAACTCCTCTCCCGTGCCCACCCTGACGCCACACATCAAGGCCGAGCCCATGGACATTGATAGCCTGACGACGGTGGCCTCACCCTTAGGAGCCGCTGCAGCCGCTGCTGCTGTGGCCGCCGCCGAGGTGATGAAGAAGTACTGCTCCACATGCGACATATCCTTCAACTATGTGAAGACCTACCTGGCCCACAAGCAGTTCTACTGCAAGAACAAGCCCCATCGGCCGGAGGTCAGCGATAGTCCCAGTCCGAACCTGGGAATGGGTGGTCTTAGCAGTGGCATCGGCGTAGCCGGCGGCGGCGGCCAGCAGAAGAACAAGGAGAACCTGCAGGAGGCGGCCATTTGAGAGAGCCAGCTGCGCTGGGAGGAGCAGCGTAAGCAGCTGGAATGGTACTACAAGTGCTTCTGAACCGAACCTAAAATCGAATCGAATCCTAAAACAAAAACTAAAGCTAAGCCTAAGCCTAAAGCCACCTGTAGTCGACGACAGTATTCCCGGAGAATCTCGCTGTCCCACTACGACTTAACCCGATCGTTAGACATACACACCCTAAACGCATATAATACACATATATAGACCATAGATCCTAGACATAATAGAGACGCATAAGCCCACGCTGTGTGGGAACCCCATGACATATAATGCATGCCAAAGCTTACCACTTAGACGGAGAAACTAAAGCGGAGAAACTACAAGTTTTGCCCAGGAGGAAGGAGAATTGTGGAGCAGAGAAGACAGAAGTCGGAATATTCCTATTGTAGAATCCATTATTGTATTGTAAATGAGTACATCAAGCGAGTACGTTTATTTATTAAGTGTGTGCGACAATAAAAATAATTAATTTATTCAACCATAGCTCGGAGTTGAGATGTGTACGAGCGTTGGAGTAGAAGAAGGATGTGTGTTGGAGTAAAAAGTTAAGAAAATTATTTTGTGGAAAATAAACATTGCAGAAAATTCATCAGTTAATTTTTAAAAGTAAGTATTTAGAAACTAAAGTTTATTATTTCCCTAAAAGTGTGTTTTTTATTTAGCGAAGAGTGCAGATTAAGTGAGAGAAAAGGCTAAGAGTTGTGGGATTATGAAGACTCCAAGGGTAAGTGGAGAGTTTTTATCCCTATGAGGTGGTGGAAGAATCGTAGAGTTTTGATTCTAAAGAGGTGGTGGAAAAAACACAGAGTATCTATCGAAAAAAATGTGGAGAATTGCATAAGAATAAAATATAAATTAGCTATAAATACAAATAAAAGAAGGTCAAGAATCTTAAAAGAGAAAACAGTTTTTAGGACAGTAGAAATTGGCCAACAAAGGCGCTACTTGCTTCGTCCCTCTTCGTGATTTGTACTCACACAAAGGGGCTTCCGTTTCCTTTTATATAACTCTCTAAACCCATAAAAATAACCTTTAGTTATTACCTTACCACGAGTAACCCACCACAAAACCAAATCCCACACACACAGTTCCGTTATCTTTATGACTAATACATTTTTAATTTTTTATTGAAATGATACGAGTACATATTTATATCGTATTTAACCTAAATACAACAAAACGTGAATTTTAAGAAGAAATTATAAGAGATGTATCCGCCTCATTTGCTGGAATTCCATAGCTCCACCAAGATCCCGGCGAGTAATGCCCGCCACGTAGTCACAATCTCTTGGTGTGCGTGTGTGTACATGGTTGGGATGATGGAGTGTGTCGGATTATGTGGGAACTTTGTAGACTCTCTCTCTTTCGCATTCAGTTGCTATGTCGTTAAGTGTAGTGTTGCGTTGTTTCTCAATTAAATCGATATTGTAAAGGTGAAAAGGTGCGAAAGGCGTTCTCGAAAACGCCCTTCTTCTAGATGTTTCGACTTTGTTGTGGGTGTGTGTGTGTGTTTATTTCTATGTAAGGGAGTTGCCGGTATGGATTACTCGGTGGCCGCCATGGCACGGGCCTGGGCACGCACACGCTTCTCATACTCCAACCGGTTCTGGCAGTAGATGGTGTAGGCCTCCGCCTGGGCCGGATCCTTAATATTGGGCTCGTTCAGCAGGTCCTGAATGCCCAGCAGAATCTGTTTGATGGTAATGGCGGGACGCCAGTCCTTCTCCTCATCGAGCAGCGACAGGCACACGGTGCCCGATGGGTACACGTTGGGATGGAACAATGGCGGCTCGAACTTGCACTTTGGCGGCGAAGTGGGATAGTCGTCCTTGAAGATCATGCGCAGCTTGTAGAGGCCGCCCTCCCAAGGTGTCGACTTCTTGCCGGGAATGGCGCACTCCCAGATCATCAGGTTGAGGGTGCCGTCCGGGTTCTTGGCCGGTCGGGCCACAAAGCCGAACGGGTGATCCTTGCGCCAGGCCTTGCGCTCCTCCCCCAGCCGTGTAATGGCGATGCCAGACATAGTTCTCTGCTCCTTTTCTTCCTGTCTTCCGTTGCAATCTCCAAGATCTCTGCTCTACACGCGCGTCTGTCTCTGAAAAATGCGAGTGTGTGTGTGGGTGTGTGAGTGTGCGGTTAGGCTTGCCTTGTCTTGTCCGCTCCGGGATCCAAGCGGTGCAAATGGGTCTATTAACCTACCTTAAATGCAAATTGCAATCGCTATTAATAACTAGTAATTGTGGTGTTACAATTATTAATTATTTCGCCTTTTTTGCGAATTCTAGCGCAATTTTCTCCGGAACGCTTCGAGGTGGTGTTAGAGATGTGATAACTTCGATAGCACATTCGAATGCATCGTTTCGGAGTAGCCCTGCCGATAGTTGTTAAACTATCGTTTAAAATATACTAAATTTAAATTTTAAATTTAAAAATTAATATTAACAAGAGTAATGATAAATATTAAAATTCAAATGTAGATTCTATAATCAACCTTTTGTTTTTTGTATCTCTCATGTGATGTTATCGTAACGAGCGATATTTTTACTGACAACTATCGTTTTTACAGTCAAGGTCAGATAAATAGCTATAAATACAATAAAATAATAATTATAATGTTTAATAGTTATAATTAATTATGGGTTTTCAAAGTTTTAGAAATGAATTTCCTAATCCTCCCAAAATCCTTTAAAAAACCTAATTAAAAACAAATCGCTTTGGAATATATTTGTATTTATTTAAATTTACGCCTCCCTTCCCCGGGAGTTACATAAATTAGTGTTATATTTCTACAATTTAATTTGATTCTGGTAGAAAAGTAGACAAATTAGTTTTCTACAATTGTAAACCTAATCGAACTAAATAAGGTTGTTGTGCCTTACGCAAAGGAACGTAACTAACTCAATCTAGTGAATCTTCGTCTTTTTTGCAGTGCACGGAGGAAGGATGCAGAAGGATCTGAAGCGGAAGCAGTGACTCAAAGAAGGCTTGGCTTGGCTAGCGGCTGCAGAAGACTTTTTTACGATGGAACGAATGGAGATGTTGTTCGGGGAGATGGGAGCCTCCTCCCGGCCTTACTTGGCCTTCTTGGACTCCTTCTTTTTGCTGCCGGACGAGCTGGATGTGCTCTCCTCCTTGTCCTTCTTCTCCTTCTTCTCGGGCTTCTCCTCGGGATGGTCTTCGTAGCTGCAAGAGAAAGGAGGCCTTAGAGCGAGGAACACAGGTGAGAGATCAAGATGGAACTTACGCAAACAGAACCTTCAGCTCGCCGCGGACGAGCGCCACCAGCAGCGGCGTGCCCATGCAGGCGGGCACAAGGTAGAGCAGCGCCGGCTGAGCATGCTTAAAGACGTGCATCACAAAGATGGTGGCCAGCAGGCCCAGGAAGTAGGCAATCAGCGTGGAGTAAAAATAAATGCGCGTCTTGCGCTTCTTGCTGTCGTCGAAGCGCAGCAGCAGGGCAATGAAGATGCCCGGAATGACGATGTCGCCCAGTCCCAGCATGGCAAAGTTCGAGGCATTCAGTCCGTGCTCGATGAGATCCTGGGGGAACACTAGCTTGATCGGTGCCTCGAAGCTCTTGGCCACCGTGACCATCACATTGGTGCCAAAGACCCAGAAGATGTCGTAGAAGAACAGGCCGCTCAGCAGGATCACGCCCGTGACAAAGTTGTTCAGGTGAAGCATCTCCACGCCGTTGATGGCAAAGGCCAGACCAAAGAGATTGTTGGCGATCCAGTGCTTCTTCAGCAGATACCACACACCGATCACCGAGGAGATCACCAGACAGACAATGTCGTGCGTGGAGAACTTGTAGTTCACAATGTCCTCCTTGTGCTTGCCCTCGCCCTTGGTGAACAGGATGTGGAACGGTACCTTGGGCACCGCCGCCGGCATCAGCGAGTTGATCACCGGGCTGAGCAGGTGCGCCAGCGCAATCACGCCCAGCACAAAGAAGTACCCGGTGAGCAGGTAGTTGATGTGCACCTTCTGGAACACCTTGAAGAACAGGTACAGGCCGAACAGGGCCGCCGACGCGATCAGCGGGAAGTACATGGCGTCCTTCTTGGTCATCGTATCGGCCTTCTCGCCCGTCGACTATGCGGAGGAGGAAACGAAGCATCCAGTTAGCATCGGGATGGAATCCACACTTCCAATGGCCACCTACCTTCTTCAGCTTGTGCAGCTTCACGGAGCGTATGGAGCCAAAGATGATGGGCAGCATAGCCATCACCACCAGGCTTCCGTAGGCAACCGCCATTCCCTCGGGCGTTGATGGCACCTTCTCCGCCGGCGGCGGGGCCGACTCGTTCTTTGGCGCGCCTCCGCCGCTCACATTTTCGAGGATGCCCTTGATGGCATCCTTAACGGTTCCAATCACTCCCTCAGCCATGTCCTGTCCTGCTCTCTGTAGTGAAAAATCGCCGGCTGACGGGGTGGAAAATGAACGAGGTATAAAAAATGACACGCAGCAGGCACACGTCAACAAATACAGATGGCAATACCTCGATGAAAATATCGATTTTGCCATCGATATTATCTATCGATACAATGGAGTGAAACTTTGCTAAACAGTGGGAATGAAACATGGGTGACAGCGCGACATCCGGCAACGCTAACATCTAAATGGAAAATAGCTATAAATGCTCTAAATTATTTGGTTGTTGTAAATATTTGCCTGTAAGATATTTTGTTGCATATATGTTGTTGTTGTAGTAAATAATAAGGTCCCCGTCTTGACTTTTAGCCATGCAAATTAATTTAATAATGTACAAGTGTGCACAATGCTATATAGCTAAATCAGCAGTTTTGACAAGATGCGAATTTGTCCCAATATTGCAATATAGCTAAGTGAGCATCACTGTCAAGTTAGATGCCATTTTCCCCCAATATTGCAATATAGCTAGATGAGCATCACTGATTGGCATCTATAACGCAAATTGTAACCGCCAAACTTAAATTTTGCCATTTTAAAATATAAGTTGGTCATTTTTGTGGCATCTTTTGCGCTGAATTTTTAAGTCTTTGATTAAAATATAATGTACGGCATACTTTTGGGCGGCGATGAATGCAACTATAGGTTGGTCATTTTTGTGGCATCTTTTGCGCTGAATTTTTAAGTCTTTGATTAAAATATAAAGTAAGGCATACTTTTGGGCGGCGATGAATGCATCTCAACTTTTACAGTTTGACAAGCACTGGTCTAATGGAGTTACAAACTTTTACAGTTTGACAAGCACTGGACCAAGTGAGATTCAATTTTTACAGTTTTAGAGCCACTGGACAGAAACTCCACTTGGGACGCCCAAAAGGGAGTTTCTGACCAGTGCTTGTCAAACTGTAAAAATTGAATCTCACTTGGACCAGTGCTTGTCAAACTGTAATATGAACTTCCGCCTAAAAGATGCCACATTTTTAATAGAAACCCCCCAAAAGTATGCTATAATTTTTATAAAATAAACGTCATACCAAAGAAATATCGTACAGCTCGAAAGTATGCTACAAAAATTCTTACAAATGCAGCCCAAAAGTATGCTACAATAAATAAAAACTGCGATACAAGAAACATTTTCGTTTATTTCAAATGTTGTAAAATGTATATGTACAAATATACAAATAAATACCAGCTAAAAAATCGTATCAATATATATGGAAACTGCTGAATAAAACAGAGTGTGGCAAACGCCCACGCACACTCTCATTCAGTATGTGGGCCGTTATCTGCGACGCCGAGCAGAGCAGTCACTGGCGATATCAGAGCCGCGACCGCGGCCATGTGCCAAGTCGGAGAGCCGAGCTCAGTTACGCACGAGAGTCCAGGGAGCGAGCATTGGATAGGAGGCTTTACTCGAGACACTTCCAAACGAACCCAACCATGAAGGCGAGCCTGAAGATAAAGACACCGACTTCCGGCATGGAACTACTGCTACTGGGCTTGGCAGCAGCTTCCGTGCCAGGCGCCACTGCTGGTGAGCTATAAAAACCTACTTATTGTGATATATTTAACCGATATAATCAATTGATTTACTATAACTAATCAGCAGACTCGAATATTGGCGGTGTGAAGGCCTTGGATCGCCTCCATGCTGGGCTATTCCTCAAGTATGACAGCCTGGTGCAGCCGCAGTTCGAAGGCGTGCCCACGCCCGTCTCGCTGGGTCTGGTGATCAACTACATAGACATCGAGGAAATCAACGGCAAGATGACCGTTCACTGCTATCTGAATATCGTAAGATCTCAGTACTCACCTTGTAGCTCCTCCTCTCCTAACCTGTAATCCTCTTAAGCGCTGGAAGGACGAGAACCTGGTCTGGCAGCCCTCGGAGTACGACAACATATCGCAAATCATTGTGCGGTCCAGTGAGGTGTGGACGCCGCAGATCACGCTCTTCAATGGCGACGAGGGTGGCCTCTTGGCAGACACCCAGGTCTTGGTGGGCTCCAATGGGAACCTGCTGAGGGTTCCTCCGGCCGTGTATACCGCCTATTGCAACCTCAACATGCAGAATTGGCCGCAGGACGAGCAAACGTGCACCTTACAGATCGGCTCGTGGGGCTTGAAGAACATTGTGGCGGAGAACATAACGGGCAAGGACACATCGATGGACTACGATGAGCTGGTGCAGTCGCCCGAGTGGGAAATAGTGGACTCCAAGGCGAAGTTTATCAACCAGGACTTTTACGGCTACATGGAGTACACGCTGACGGCGAAGCGCAGGTCCTCCATGTACACCGCTGTCATTTATACGCCGGCGTCTTGCATTGTCATTCTGGCCCTGGCCGCCTTCTGGCTGCCGCCGCACATGGGCGGCGAGAAGATTATGATCAATGGATTGCTAATCATCGTCATAGCCGCCTTCTTGATGTACTTTGCCCAGCTGGTGCCGGTGATGGCCAACAAGACGCCTCTCGTTGGTGAGTGAATTTGGCGTTTATTTAGGCATTCTACTTACATATCTGTCGACGCTACTTGCTCTGAAAGTGTGTAGGCCTTTAAAGATAAAATTTAGCTTTGTTCCACGCTTGAAATTCACATTTTTCTTCTTTTTAAGCACGTTTACAATGTTTACAGTGGCTCTCAAACTGTTATCTAGGGATGAGCTTACGAGTTAGCTGTCATTTTTGACAGCTGACTTTTGACAGATGAAACTTTATTGTTTATTCTCGATCTTTTGCAGTTATCTTCTACAGCACCACGCTTCTGCTGCTGAGCGTGTCCACGATCATCGAGGTGGCCGTGCTCTACCTGGCCACCGTCAAGCACAAGAGACGCATCCCTGATGTGCTGAGGAAGCTCCTCCACGGCAAAGTCGGCACCTGGCTGCTGCTCTCGCATTTCTGCACCCAGCCAGCGCCGCAGCAGACGGAGAAGACCAACGAGCTGTACGAGCAGCAGCAGGATCAGGAGCAGCATGTGTACGAAAACGACGATGACGAGGCAACGAATCCCTTGGACATCAATCCCAGCGAGGTGCCCGCCTACAAGGCCATCCAGTTCGATTGGGCGCTGCTGGCCACCGCCGTGGATCGCGTTTTCTTCGTGGTCTACAGCCTGGCCTTCCTCATCCTGGCCATAACGTGTGCTGTCTAGGATCAAGGCGGGGAACATGTACTCCTTAAGCATCATTTATTCTTTAATCGACGTGCAAAATTAAAATTACTTAATGATGAGAGCCCTTTGTTGGAATAAATAAAGGATCTCTTACAACTAGAAGAAGCCAAGGATAACGGGCGAAGGATAACAAATTGAGGCTCGTCTCCGAGTATTGCTCCAAGGTTATCACACTTATTAACCCCACAATTAACCCAAAGTGGCTGGAATTATGCGAAACGACCTTTTTTAATGGCCGGCTGACCCTTCATCCGAGACTTGCTCTCTCTCTGCGCAATGGGTGGTCCTGTGCGCAGCTCCAGCGACTCCTCCTCCTTCCCTGAACGAACTCGGCAACAAATTGGGGTTGCTCTACGGGCTCAATTAAATGCATTTGGGGTGGTGCTGTCCTGTGTCCTGACAGGGTCTCCAGCTCCTGCTGTCCCGCCTGGGAATGGAGCTGGGAAATTCGATGTTGAGGCGGACGAGGCGTTGGTGGGTGGCGCCTGGCCAGGCGAGAGCTGAGAGGAGGCCGTCGAGGGCGAGGGAAAGCCCAGGCTGGAGCTAGTGGAGGCGGGCGAGGTGTGTTCCAGCGGATGCAGGAAGTGAGGCTGCCCCAGCTGATGATGTGGATGCGAGTGCTGGTGATGATGCGGGTGATGGTGGTGCGGATGGTGCAGCGGCGGCGGCGGCGGTGGATGGCGGACCACCTGCATTCCTCCGCCCCCACCGCCGTGGTGATTGTAGGAACCTAGCATACTGGCGGCCGGATCTCCGCCCTGCGCCTGGGCCTGGCAGGCGGCCATCAAGCCGTGGAAGTCGAATTTGTACGCGTACCGCTTGCCATGCACCTTGGTCATGATATTCTTGTCGTAGTAGTATCTGTAAAAAATGTAATAATAATTATTAAAACAAAAGAAAACATTAAAATTAAATATCAATAATAAATATCGAAATTATAGATTTGTCAAAGTTTAAAAATATCATAACTAAGCCAAAAAAGCATCAATTTCATTTCGGAAAGTTTTTCTATGCTAGTTTTTTCTAGGTTAAGAAATCTGCATATTTAATTTTGAATTTTAAAAAATCGAAATTTTTGGCCATTTTTGAGATTTTTAATGATGTAACCCCTTACCATTTTTTGAAAAAAATTGAAAAAAAAAAAATTTCTTTGGAACATGGCCAGAAAGATGCGCCTGTTAATGCTGATCAAGAATATATATGATTTATAGGGTCGGAAGTGACTTCTTCACTGCGTAACTAGCTTCTGAATGAAATTATAATACCCTGTAAGGTAAAATAACAATAAATATCGATCCCTAGTATCCCTAGTATGCGCATATTTATTTGGGAAATTATTGTGACCGAAACGTGAACGATTATAAAAAGTTGAATATATTCCAATTTAAAATTTAAATATTAATTAAAAAATAATTTTTTAATAACAAAACAATATTGGAAAAAATATCATAAAAAGAGTATTGAGTATTTTGCACCAATAAAAAAAAAATAATAATTTAACACGGAAAAGCTTTAGTGATTTTCAGTTTTTTTCGTTTGATTTGCACAAAAAAAAAACAACATTAAAATATAAATAAAGATATATATTTAAGAATATGTAAATTCTGGTGTATCTGCTTTATGTATTCTCCATTAATATGTTAATTAATTGATGTTGGAAAAATATGACAAACAAATTGAACTTAATTTTTAACATTTTTTTATTCTTTCAAATTGTCTAAACTCTAGAAAAAATTATGAAAAGCCAATGCATAAAAGCTGATTATTTTATTATAATTATTATAGTTATAAACATTTAAGACTAAACAAAGTATATGTGTTTAAACTCACCTGAGAGCCCGGCTCAGCTTGTCATAGTTCATGTTGGGCTTGGCCTTGCGCTCGCCCCATCGCTTGGCCACCTCGTCGGGGTCGATGAGCCGGAACTCGCCCGATTGGCCCTCCCAGCTGATGCAGGCGGCATTGGACGAATCGGCGAGCAGCTCCAACAGAAACTGCCATAGCTGGATCTGGCCCCCGGAGCCCTGGGCGACCAATCGGTGCGAGGCAGCGTTCAGCAGCTGATATGGATCTGGGGAAGAAGGGGGTCATTAGTCGCCAGATACACAGATATATGTATGTATGTGTTTCTCGCTAGAGAGAAACAGAGAGCAGCGAAGAGAGAGAGAGAGAGAGCAGGCGAATCGCGAATGAAACCCATCCCAAGCTAAACGAGCTTTTCTGTGGAGCAGGAGGCAGAGGCAACGCGTGGACTGAGTGCCAAGTGATGGCTGTGAAAGGCCATAAGCCAGCGCGGATTCGCAGAAAATCAACCGCAAGCGGACATAAATCCTGGACGGCACACTACACAGCGAGAAAGGCCGGTTTCAAAAGCAACTTGTAACCAGTTTAATGGAAAGTAGAGAGAGGATTCATTAAGTGATTTACTTAATTTAATTTATGATAAAAAGAACACATATTTGTGACAATTTTACGATGTAGAAATATTGAAAAATTAGAAATATAAATAAAAATATATACAACAACTGGGTTGTCTTAACAAGCTTTAAAATATTAAATAAATTACAGCATTAAACAATAATAAAGAAGCAAGATTTTAGTTTAGTTAGAAGGTAAATCAACTGAAAAAAAGTCAATAAAAATTAAAATAAATCATGTAAATCAAGCAATAACAATATTTACTTTAATTTAATTTTAGTTTACAAAAAAATTAGAGAAATATAGTTTCTTTCAGAGGCTTAAAAAAATTATTAATATACAAAAATGTAGAGTAAATTTTACTTGAATTTTCAAGTTAAGATTTCTGTTAACTTCCTTTTAAAAAATACTCCCGTTAGTAATCTTTTCTACATCCTGTTGACCTCATTCGACTCGGAAATTAGGGAACCCATTTCATAGGAAGTAACTAATTAAGCAAAGCTAAATTAGCTTTTTATATAGCACAGAAAACTGAACTTCCTGGTCGTAGCAGGAGTTGGTTTCTGACGCTGTAAATATTTGCCAGTTTATTCTTAACGTCTTCATTGGGGACATTCCCACATCCTAGATTTAGTTCAGCGGGGAAAATCCCCTCAAAAAGGCCGCCGCAAAAGTCACGAAAGTGCCATAACACCGAAGGTGACTCATCCCAGCACGCCGTCTGTGATCAAGCGGAGCCGCGGCCAAGAGACACCTCTCACACTGCTCGCAGCTAGACAGTGTCGGAATGAGCAAGAGTAAGAGGAACTGGTACCACCACCGATCCCATTCAGCTCTCTAGGCGCCGGAAATGCCGGCGATCGAGTGGCTGCCATTCCATTCAGAGAAGCCTCGGTTCATTCACAAGTTTTTCGGATATGTTGCCTTCTCTCTTGGCGGCGGAAATTCCGATGATATTTTTCGGCGGACAGATACATCTGTATCTCTTACCATTGAAGATCATCGAGGTGTGCGGATGCTGATGGTGCTGGTGGTGGTGATGGTAGTGATGATGCACCGCCGAATGCGGATGTGGATGCGAGTGCTGGCCGACAACGGTCGGTGCCGCCGGCTGCATGCGGAGGCCGAAGCGCCGGTTAAAGTCCTCCGATAGGCGCCACATGACACCCACGTCCACGCTGACGCTCATGGCGGGTATTTTTGAATGTCTTTAGATATTATTTTATATAATTTGCATTTTTCACTTTTTAGTACATTTTTAAATATAATTTATTCTTTTCTCTAGCACTTCGGCATTTAAACTTTAATAAATTCCTTAACTTAACTCGTTTGAAGTTTAGTTTTATTATTTTTATTATGGTCTTTAAACCTCCATAAAGTTAATCCGTTTAAAAATATTTTTCCCATAAAAACAGATTTTTTAAAGAATTTAAACGCTTTTTAAAATCCCAAATATTTAAAGTTGTTATATATTTATTTTCCTTATTTTTAGGAGCGTGTAAACCGCGTCGGACCAGGGTCCAATGGCAACTGAAACTTTAGCTGGGACGGATTTCGGTCCTTAGCATCTTCGCCTGGCCGCTTCCGAGGACACAGCGCAGCTCCGAGGCGACTCTGGGAAAGATTACGGCTCACCTGCGCAGCTGGTGGTAAATGCTGCTTCGGCATTCGCCGCCGAAGTCGCTAAAGTCAGAGGCCAGAAGCCAGGAGTCAGGAGCCACGTGCAGCCACTCAACCACCGCCACCCACCAACATAAACACAATAAACAACCAGAGGAGGAGAAGGAGGAGGGGGCAGGCTGCTTCCGTCCAGTTTTTCGACTATAGAATACTCATTGGCTATTTCATTCAGTTATTTTTATACTGTCATGGGACTTGATTGAGTTTTAAAAAAGAATTAAATACTTTGGTAAGCGAATTTCCTAAGAAAAATATTTTTGGCACTTGGTAATAATTTCTATTTATATGTGGTTTTAAATGCTATATTTATAAACGGGAAGCCGAAGTTTGTATACCCTGAAAGTTTTTAATTGATTTATCTAAGTTTAAAAATGTCATAGCTAAGTTAAAAAAGCATCAATTTTTATTCGGGTAACTTTTCTATGCTAGTATTTCTTAGGTTTTCAAATCTGCTTACTGAATTTTAAATTTTAAGAAATCAAAATTTTTGGCCATTTTTGAGATTTTTAACGATGTAACCCCTTATCAAATTTCAAAAAAATTGAAAAATTTTGTTTTCTTTCCAAGATGGTTAAAAAGAAGCGCCTGTCAATGCTGAGCAAGAATATATATGGTTTATAGGGTCGGAAATTACTTTTTCACTGCGTTACTGGCATCTGACTGAAATTATAAGACCCAGTAAGGATATAATACCAATAAATATTGATCCCTAGTATAAATAATCCATTAATAAATTTAGATTAATTTATATAATATCGCATGTATATTGAAATTTGTTTTCCATTATTTTATTACGATGATAATGATAATTTATACCTATTGTAAAGAAAACTAGATTATTCTTCCTACTTCTTAAAACCTTCCAACCCCAGTATACCCTAGTTTTCTGCTCTTGTCGAGCAGGCAAAGGGGGCGGTGACTCAGGACATGGGAACAACCAACTATGATGGCAAAACTCCCGGGGTAATCTACGTGACGGCAACGCCGACGACGAGGACAACGCGTAATCCTCGTTGGCATAAAAAACAAATCAATTAAATCGACGTCGCCGGCTCTCGGGATCAGGCTAGCGAGCAACCTATGGCACAGACCCAAATCAGAGGAGGCTTTCCGCCACAGGAAGGATGCGACGAATGAATATTTTCCTGTGCCCAACTCCTGGAAGCTGGCAGCTGACCACCCGCGGTGCTGTTGTCACCGAAAAGCCACCCAATGCCGACGCTACTGCTCCCCTTCTCCGACTTTAACTGAAACTTGACTCTGTGGGATTATTTTGATTTTATTATTAGATGCCACATCCTGCGAGAAATTATCATATTTACATCGTTTATTATTAAGTTCATCACTTGAGGCCAGGCGAAAGCCTTGCCAAGTAATAAGTGGGGAAAAGTGTTGCATACTTTGGCTGTCGCGAAGAGATTTTCCCAGCGATTTACGTTTATGGAGTTGGGTGAAACTTCGCGGAGGAAAAGGTAATTAAAAGGTTGTTGTTCTCACACACACCTTTGTGCCGAGCAACTTTTCTCCCTTATCAAACACATTAACTAAAGAGGGAATTAAGGAGGAATAAAGCCTGGGGCGTGGGGAGTGAGGAGAAAACAATCAATGAAACACATAAGTTACCCCTAATCTTAATCAGTTGCCATTTAACTGAGAGCCTGGCAGAGGTCAGAAACGGATTCAATTGATGCCTGACCACAAAGGATTTTCCACACATGCTGGAGACTGGAGGAGGACTGGAGGCAATCGCACTATTGGGAATAGCACGTGAACCCAATTACCAAGCAGCTCAATCTCTGGCCTCTTGGACGCTTCAGATTTATGGGCAGCGAGATTAGAAGAGAGCTTTCTTGTGGGAAACAATGTGGAGAGGGCAGGATACCAGGAATAATCCTTTCGAGAAAGTCTTAAAACGTTCTTTAAAAGTTAAAATAAACTTGAAAAAATATTGTTTAATATCTGTTTAAAAGCATTCTTAAAGTTCTCTCTCTCTCTGTCTCTCTAAATTTTAAATTAATTTCAAGTCCCATCCCTGCCCCGTACTCACTTGGCTCGTTGTCATTCAACATGGGACTCGTCTCTCTTCCAGTGGCATGGTACAGGCTCAGCGCAAAGTGCTTAGACAGGAGCATCCCACCACGCCTTGATCCGGCACAGACCCAGAAATCCGCACGGGTTAGCTCGCACAGCTCCTGGCCTTCCTTCGGGAACCTGGTGATGTCCGGCTCCGGATCCAATTTGAATTTACGCGTTGTCCAACGGACCCAGCTGGAGATGTCCTCTGCAGTCCAGGCATGTGGATCCACGGGCACTTCGACGGGCGTTACGCTTCGATTCGAGTCCAAGGAGTCCCTTCTAGGTGGTGGAGCCTCTTCTGGTTGGTGAGCGGGGGAGCTGGCGATGGTAGCCAGAGGCAGGGACTCTGGCAAGTTTAGGGCGGGTGGAAAGGGTGTACTGCTTTTGCTGGCGGCGGAGGAGGAGGAGGCGGAGGAAGTATCGGAGGAACTGGTATCCGAGTCTGTGGATGAATCCGAGTAGGAATCACTTGTGTCGCTGGTGGAGCTGCTGCTGCATCGCCTTCTCCTTCGTCGCCTGCCCGGAGATTTGCCTCCTGGCGTCTCCGCTTTCTTCTCCTTCGCTTCCAGTTGGGCTGCGCTCTCTCCACATCCGATGCTCTTTCGCCGGACATCCTGGTGCATGGCATTAACCGCTGCCCTGGGTTGGCACCAAGTATGGTATGGTATGGTCTGTGCGTGGACTTGGCTGGGGTTTAGGCTTTGGTGGCGATTCTGCAGAATGGCCATTAAGCCAGGTGACACTTGAGGTTGGTATTTGTTTAAATTTTTAATATTTTAAGTAATTTGTATTATTCTTAGGACCGAATCTCACAGGGAGTTCATTATCAGCTGTGGGTCTTTGGTTGATTTTTTATTTTATTTGGGTTTATCATTATATTCTTTTGAATATTAACTTAGTTGTTGTAACATTTATTGTTATTTGTGTAGATTCCTTGATTATTGGTTACTTTTTGGGAATATTTCTTTAAATTCTTGATCACTTTTTACTTTACTAAAATAATTCTTGATTGCTCTTATTTTATTAATATTTTTAAAATTTTTATCACTTTTACTTTGTATAATAATTCTTAAGTACTTTGACTACGTTTTTTAAATAGTTATTTATTTCTATAATAAGTTTAAATGTTTTTATAACAATTTTTGGATTATTTTTGTTTTATAATTTTTTTATTTAAATATTTATTTTATATATTTGATCGCTTTTCTTTTGGTTTTCTTAATAAGTCATTTATATATTCTTATTTTTGGCTATTTTTTAATTGTTTTTAGAGTTTTTCATCACTTTTCACTTTCTTATTTAGGTTTCGGGTCTTTTCTTTCAACATCCAAAGACAGTTTATAATTATTGATAACGTTATCTGGTTGTATTTATTTTTTCAACACAACAGATCAACACAAAATGTACCAATAGCAACAGATTCTCTGATTACTTTTCATTTTATGGCGAAATCTTTTGGTAGTTCAAGGAACTAAGAATATTCCAAACTCCAGCATATAATTTTAAAGCAGAACTCGTTTTAAATGTTTTAATATTTTTATCTTACACTTTTTGTAGAACTATAAAAATAATTCACCGAATTTAAGCTTTTATTTTTCCATCGAAATTTGTTTAAAATAATTTTAGAAACTTCTTAAGGTCACTTTTGCACTTTATTTAAACTGATTCCATTTATTTATTGTTTATTATTATTTATTTCGAGTTGTTTGATTCACATTAATTCCTGGAATATCGGCCAATAAAAATCACTGATTTTGCTTGTCGCCTGCAACCGGTTGGTAGGTGGAAAACGACACGGATTTAGGATGTGTGGCCTGGATGATTCACCAGCGAGTATAGTGCGGGGAACACTTCACCTGCTTGGCCGAACAAGTGGCATCAGCTGCCGGCTTTCCGCACGTGCCGGATATCGCGGAAATCTTTGCTCGAAAATGATAGGAAACCTTTTAATGACCGTTATTGTTTCAGCGACCGATTACGACCGAGGTGGTACTGGTACTGGGTGAACCTATGAACCCCGTCCTATTGAGCCTATGCGTCCGCACCGATCCGCGAGTGACGAACTAATGATCAGCGTCGGCAAAGTGTGATAAAGCCATGACGAAGTCGTAGTCCGCGAGAGCTTTTGGCTCTCTCGCGAATCGCCTGGTGCCCCCTGATCAATCTGGCTGAAATCGAGTAGCTTCTAGTGGTCTTCCTACCAGATTCGCTAGGGGGCTCGCAAGCTTTCACTCTCTTGGAGGCGGCTCTCCTTATCGCCAGCAAATAACAACCTTAAGCATGACGTCGTGGAACTGGCGCACACTCGCCTGGTGACTCACCCGTCCATAGAGCAAACACATTGCTTGGCGATCGGCGGGCACTTGGAGTTCCCCAGTTCTTTAGGCGAGAGGAGAGCGGAGGGTAAGGTCGTTCGGCGGCCACACGAAAATTCATTCATCGATTCGCATGGGTTCTCTTTCTCCTTCTCCCTCTCTGTGAGTTCGTTTTTCTCGCTTTTTGTTTATGTCGCGTCATTTTTCTGGGAAATCTGCCATGAGTCGTTAGTTGTCTGTGGCCACAAGCCCACTTTTGGTTAGATATAGCGGTAGTATCTCTTCGATATTTGGCCAACAGGTCGCTTTACCAAAGCTCACACGGTGAGAAAAGGCTGAAAGGTTTGAGATTTTGTGGTATTTGTATTTAAACTTAGAGTTGTTTGAGCAGTAGGTAAATTTAAATTATAATTAAATATATACCGTAAATATATATTTTGTTTATTTTGTATGACTAGTTTCTTACCTTTTAAATGGTCTTTCAAGGGGTCTATGAAGGCTTCTTCTTTGATAAGCTTAAAATTCAAGAGGTATAATTGAACCTTGTTGTGTTTTTTGCAGATTCCAGGATGTTTCAAACTTTTCTCGTTATAAGATTAGTCTAGATGATTTAAATATAAAATTCTTGCCCGAATCCAAGCATCTGCTGATGAGTGTCTTCTGCAAAGATAGGAAGATACATTTAATTATAAGATAAAAATTACAAGAAAATAGCACTTTACTTGTAATACTCACTTGAATATTTCGCCATAAGGTGTTATTTATCCTTGGCTGATGCATCATCAACAGGTAAGATCAGTTATTTATTTTATATTGTATCACTGAGGCATCATTAAGGTAAAGTCCAATTATAAAAAGTCGTATAATAAACCCCTTTTCAAGTCTTCCTCCAGTGTTAAGCTGTCACCACACACGGCAAGATAATGCCTAGTCAAAGAACTATGACCCAATCTAAACACAATTGTTTTCTGTGCACAAACATAAAGCTTATTACGATCCATCTCCCCTCCCCATTTGGAGCATATCAGCTTGCAATTGCTTGCGCCGTCGGCTTGTTTGAGTTTCAGCCGAGGATTCCGGGAAATTGCTTCTGATTTCATAGCCCCCAATGGGGACGGTTTTGGACAAGTGATTCATGCTTTCAATTCGATGGCCCACTCTCTCGAACACTTTTATCGCTGGCGCCGGCAACAAAAATTCATACAATCAAAATCCATATCGCGGTTTATATTTGTTTTGTTTGTGACGTTCTTCGCTCGAAGCCCTGGAGAGCTTTTACTAGACTTGCGTATATCGTATATATAGTTCAGTTCATTCATAAAATGCCCACAATGGGGGTTGTGAGCAATCAAGCGATATAGTATATGTATTTGTAGATTGCTCATTGCCTTTGTGGGAGAACTTTGAACGCGGTTACGCTTTGTTTTGACTTACGAGGTGAATTAGAAAAGGGTGCTTTCCACTAGACTATGAACTATCTATCCTAGTCACGGTCTTATATCACTTTGCGTTATCATTCGTAACAAGTAGGGGGATCTTTTGTCTTGTAGGATTTTTCTATACTCACGATTAGTGGAATTATTCTGTTCATTCCTGTACTTGGGTTTTTTCTTTAGTTTTAATAGATACTTTTCACTCCAAAAGGGATCACTATCGATATATCTATATAGCCATTCCTTGATCTTTCATATCTACCTGTTTAACGTAAACCTAGTGGTCTTCTTAAGACTATTTTCCTTATGTAAATCAATGAAATGTAAACTAAATTCTTGCCTTACGTCTCCACACAGGTATTTGTTTATTATTATTTATTCAGTCGAATAAATACCACCATGACTAGTTGCTAGTGTATTATTGAATCATCCTAATGCAGCTCCTCGGTAATCTCCTCGTCATCGGCCTCGTCGTCGTCATAGCTCGCCCTAGTTGTTGTCATGGCAGAGGTTCTGCTGCTGCTGCTCATTCCTGTACTCAGCGAGGAGGCGGTGACGACCTGGCGACCCGAGTTCCAAATGCGATCAAAGTCCAAGTCGCATTCCTTGGCTATTTTCTGGACTATGCCACGATCCACCAGGCCCGAGGCACTCCATGAGTTGTCCTTGACAGCCAGTTCCTTGAGAGCCCGGCCTGCCTCTGGATATTGCTTGGCATAGACCAGAGATCGCACCAGCATGGCCAGGATGTGGGCATGGCGGATGGGTGGGAGCTCTGGTTTGACTGGAAAAAGTCCCCTCTTGATCACTGAAACCACAAAAAGTTTACCCAAAACACTTACCCAACATGCTCCTACAAGATCCTATGACCAACTGGTGGTCGCCATCTCTGAGGGCCTGCTGTATCTCCAGAATGGCCTTGACATCCGCCACCGTGCGCTGCAGATTATTGTAGGCATGCTGGGCATGGGTGAGCTTCTCCAGGCACTTGGAGGCCTCCTGCATAGCCGTCAGGGCCTTGCCATAGTCCTGGAACTCTTCAATATCGATCTGGGCGCATATGGCGTAGAAGTTGGCCAGCGAATCGAAGGCCTGGCCCTTCGTGTAGAAGCTGACGATGTGCTTGAGGATCTGGGGATCCGACTGCCAGTCCAAGGCCTGCAGGTAGTTGGCCGCCATGATGTACACCTCCCTTTGCCGCGACATATTAGCAAAGAAGATGATTTTGTCGGTGTTTCCGGACTTTAGCAGACTCTTCATGGCTCGCATTTTGTCGCCTGCCTGGGTGAACTTCTTGGTGGCGCTGTGGTAATCTCCCTGCTGCTGCAGGAGCTCCCCCAGTTGGATGAGTATGCTGACCCGTGTGGCCTCCTCAAATTCCCCCTTCTCGGGGGTAAGCATCTCCGACAGCTCTTCGGTTACAGGGACTCCCCTCTCCAGGCAGATGCTCACCGCCCTCTCCAGGTGCCTGGTCTTGGCCAGGAGCTGGACTGCCTTCTGGAATTGCTCGATGCTGCTAAAGAAATCCGCACATCGATTGATCAGCTCGGCATCTGACTCGGGCACCAGCTCGGAGGCTATAATCTCCAGGATCTCGGGCTGCTGGCTCTCGAAGGCCATCTCCAAGGCCTTGTGGAGCATCCCGGCTCGATGGTAGAGCTCCACGGCGTGCTTGAAGTTGCCACACTCCTCGAAATAGGCCGCAGCTATGGCCTTGTCTCGTTGCCGCGAGGAACTGGCCACGGTCCAGAGCTCCTCCTGGAAATCGTTCTCCTTGCAGATGCGTATGGCATTGCTGAATGTCTGGGCGCGTGTAAAGAACATGATGGCCTCCTGGAACTTGCCCACGTTCTCGTAGTGCCTGGCCAAGTGGTAGCAGGCAGCTCGATCGCCCGACTGCCTGGCTATGGCATCGGCTTTGGAGATCTTGCCCAGGTAACACAGGATCTTGACCTGTGAGAACCAATCCTCTGCCTTGTGGTAGACACTCAAAGCCGCATCCATATCCCCAGAGCTCTCGATGTACTGGCCCCACCACTTGAGCAGCTTGGGGTCTGAGGTGGTCTGGATGTAGCGCTTCATGGCCGCCGGGTTCTCCAGCAGCAACTGGGTTATATTCTGAGCCGGATTTTGCGTCTTCTCAAAGTACTCCAAGGCGCCCTTGATGTCACCTCTTTCGCGCAACTCCTGGGCCTTCTGGTAGTAGGTGTGCTTCAAGTGAATCCTGTCCTCCGTCTCTGCCACCTCCAGAGCCTCGTCCAAGTGGCCCGTGGCCTGCAGGAGCTGGTTGAGCAAATCGTAACGCTTGCAGCGACGATACAGATCCTTGGCCTCCTCAATCATGCCCAGTTCTATGGCCAGAACAGCCACCTTGGCTTCGGTCTCCAAGTCATCATCTTCAATGGCCTGCCGGAGGGCTCGCACAGAGCGTGCCTGCTCCAGGTGACCCATGCACACCGTGGCCACATCCAAGCGATTGGTGTGGACACACATCCTGGCCAGGTTGGTCCAGATCACCTTGGACTGAATGCTGCGTATGCTGCGATAGGCCAGATCCATGTTTCCCTCGGCCACATAGAGACTGAAGTTGAGAACCTGCTTTCTGGTCACGGGATCGCACTGCTGGAGGTCCACGAAGTCCTGGAGAGCCTGCTCCTCCACGGCATTAATCTTTAGGAGAAGCACATGGGGCACACAAAGATTGAGCAGCTGGGAGCCCGGCTTAAGGGCTTGAGTCTCTAGGACATTGAGGGTATCCTTTTCCGAGTAAAACAGGAGCAGAATCTGCGACTGAACAAAGTGACTGGGCTGCTGGGCTTGGACATGCGAGTGATGAGAGTTCTTTGGAGGCACCACCTTCTTCTGCATCATGGACTTGACCTCCATGGCCAGGAGTCGCGGCTCGTCGGCATCCCAGAAAATGCGCACAGGCAGGCTAGAGCTCTCCTTCCTGGACTCTCCCTCCCCCAGGCCGTACTCCAGGAGATTATTCCTCTCAAAGTCCCAGCAGTAGAGCCTGGAAATGGGTGTAAAACTGCTGCTGGCTATCACCATGGCCAGATGGTTGCCCTGACTGTTGCACTTCACCAGGATGAACTCCCCAAAGTCATCGAAGATGTCGTGACCCGACTTGCTGGGGAACAGCAGCTTGGGATCGTGCCTGGACACATCGTAGGCCTTCACATAGCCATTCATGGTGAACAGGGAGAGGTGACAGCCGCTCAGGTCCATCCCTATGATCTTGCCTTCGATGTCGCTGGCCTGCAGCCGATGGAGCACCACGCCGCCCACGGAATAGATCATAATGTCGCTGCTTCCCAGGCAGAAGATGTTCTGGTTGTGCAGCCCCAAGGATAGGCACTCGGCGGCAAAGGTCTGCAGGAGCTTCACACTCAGCGAGGGCGAGGCTCCGCTGGATGGCGGGGCTTCCACACCCTCCACCGCCTCCAAAATCTCATCAAACTCATCCAGGCTCTTCTTCTCCACCCTCTGCAGGCTGTAGGAGGAGATGCTTCTTCCGTTGCTTAGCACCAGGCTCAGTTCGTTCAGGGCCAAGGCCGTCACTGGAAACTCCGATTGGACCAGGGTCTCCCGACCGCTGCAGTGCGTCAGCTGCACTGTCTTGGCCGCGCGCTGAACGGCCCACAGTTCGCGGATGTGAAACGCCAGTAGAGGCTGCTCCTTGAGCATAAACACATTCGAGGGACAGTTGACCAGCATGCAGGGTTTTCCCAGCTCATTGAAGCCCCACTCACAGCTCCGAATAGATCCCCCCCTCACCGAAGATATATTCGTCAGCTGCCAGGCTTCTTCCGGGGCACTTACCAGTCTACTTCCGCTCCTCTTCCAGGCATACAGATTCCCCTGTGAGGTTCCGGCACACAGAGTTTGATTCGTGGAGCTGTAGGCCAGACAAGTGAAGATTTCCCCGCCGAACTTGGGTGTCTTGCGAGGCACACTGCTGCTCTCGGTGCTGTCCTGGCTGAAGAACTGATTCGAAGAGGACAAGGTGCCATTGCTCAGGCTGGTCAGGGAGGATCCTATCTGATTGCCACTGGGCAGGTCCATTTTCAAAAGGTAGTTGTCACTCCTTTCGATGTCCCAAATGCGCACAAAGAGATCGCCTGTGATGATGGCCAGCGAGTTGCCCGACCAGGCAATCCCGCCCTGCCTGCCTCCTCCCCGACCGCTCATCTTGACGCGATCTAGCTCGGTGAGTATGCCCGTGGACTCCACCAGGAACAGAGTCACAGTCAGGTCCTCCATTAAACAGATGACTGCGTCTCTAAAATATGTAAAAATATATAAATTTAAGGGCTTACTTTTAGGTACCTCCTCTTACTTCTTGGGATGCCACAGCATCTGGACAATGGGCGGCAGGGAGCCGCACTTCATCACCTCCAGACAGGCACCGCCCTGGTTGATGTAGTACACCACTCCGCCCTGCGTGCACGCATAGAAACAGTGGTTATCCCTCACTCCCGAGTGGGTCATCCCCCGGGCCGCCGTCCTCGGCCTCCAATTGGTCAGAGTATCCAGAGCATTCTCATCGCCGGCCACCGCTGCCTTGGCCAGATTGGCCATCTCCTCCCGCACTTCGCTCTCCACCGTCCGCCGGAAGCAGATCAGCAGCAGTACCTCCCGCAGATCGTGCGAAAACATGGTGAGGAACTGATACTGACCATCGCATCGCCATCCGGTGACCAAGCCCATGGCATCCGCTGTGACCATGCGTCCGCCCTGCTCGCTGAACTGCAGCAGGACAATGGCCGCCTTGTGCGGGGCACTGACGCTGGCGAACTCGCGATGTCCCGCGAACCACACATGGATATCGCCGTGCTCCCAGCCGCTGGCCAGCAGGGCCTTCTCCGGGTGCCAGCACAGGGCCGTGGCCTGTGAGGTGGCGTGCACTGGATATGTGACATCTCGCTGTGGTTCGCCCTTTGGGTTTTTTTCACGTATTTAGTAAAATATTAAAGGCAGACAGAAAATACATACAGTATCTGCAAAAATCGTCACGGAACCTCCTCTTTCTGGGCTGAAGGAGGCCACTGCAAAGAGCGGCTCACTGGGATGCCAGCTGCTGATGGTGCTCACCGCATCCGAGTCCAGAAACTCGATTTTAGTATCGAAATATAATGTCATTTCGCCGCGTTAAAGGTAAATGCAACTGCAAATTTTTCCGGCAAAAGCCAAAACAAAAGAAAATGTTTAGAATGTTAGCAACGGTTGCCATGGTTTCGAAAAGTAACGGTTAAAAGCGGGTGCATTTTTGAATATAGGGTGTTTCGGGTTATTTAGGTTGAGCTGGAAGACTAACTTTTGTTTTTAATTTCATCATAAAACAATTTTGATTAATAATATAAAATAAACTCGCAAAACTATCTAATTTATCCAATTTTCTACTAATTTCAGTTAATAAGTTTATTTTAGGATTTTGAAAAACGTATTATAACGGTTAAAATCCATCCCTGGTTTCATCAACCGGGTGTTTCGTGCTCTTCTGAACAATATTCAAAAGTTGAGTAATATATTCATATTTTCTGAAAGTTTTTTTATATTACATCAATTAGTGTTTCATTACGTCATGCTGGGATTTATTGATTATAGTTTAATGCCTCATTTATCTATGCATGTGACTACTAAGCAAACACACACATTAACAAAGAAGTAGATTTGCAGTAATTTCTATAGTGCTGACAAGGTTTAAATCTTTTACTAGCAAAAAAGTTAGGTTTTTATAAGTCATACAAAATTAACGATGATTTAAAAAAATAATAGAATATAAAAATATATTCGTTAATATAAAATTTATAACAAATTAACAATAAGCTTAACAAATAATTGTATATAAAATATATTCCTTTATGCAAGATTTCGTTAATTTTTTTTATTGTTTTAATATTTAAAAAAATTAGCAATAAACTTATAAAATTATATCATATAAACTATTATCCTTTACGTAAGTTTTCCTTTTTTTAATATTTAAAAAAATTAGCTATAAGCTTAAAAAATAATATATAAAATAAATATTCCATTATGCGATTAGTAAATTTTTTAAATATTTTAAGAGGTTAACAAATATACCTTTAAAAATAAAAAAAAGGAAAACTTACAAAAAGAAATATATTTTTTACGATAATATTTTTTAAGCTCATTGTTTATTTTTAATTAACTATTAATCGTACCTTATTGCCAGTGAATTTTCTTAAACTTTTATAACAAATTTATTTAAAAAGTCAAAAATATAACCTTTTCCGATTTTTAATTCCTTACTTTAATATTTTGTAATTTGTTTTACCCTTTTAATTAATTCTCTATATTTATAGTTTCCATCTTAGCTCTAAAACAACTAATTAACCATCTCTAGCACTTACCCACACACTGGCAGCCATCAAGTATACGCCTTGCGTATACGCAATACTCGTGCACACAGATGAAATCACCGGCAAACAAAACAATATAGAATACTGGAAGAAACCGCAGTCGATATTGCGACTCATTTGCAGTGCAAACTCCTCCGAAGCAACACAACAACCAAGAATGGCCGATCGTCCGTGTGCTGGCAACGCTCTCCGCATCGCCGGAGCCGTCATTCTGCCCAACCTGGGCGGCATCTACAATGGACGGCTGACCAGGAAGCACCTCCAGAACTGGTATGCCCACCTCAAGTTCCCCTCTTTCAAGCCACCCAATTGGGTGTTCGCACCCATGTGGACATCCCTGTACGCGGGCATGGGCTACGGCTCGTATCTGGTGTGGCGGGATGGAGGAGGATTCTCGGGCGATGCCCAACTTCCACTGATGGCCTATGGCACCCAGCTGGCTCTGAACTGGGCCTGGTCACCGATTTTCTTCGGGCAGCAAAATATTAAGGGCGTGAGTATAGCTCATCGTTATCTGAGGTGTAATGCGTTTCTAATCCCCTTTTTCCTCCATTTAGGGTCTCATTGACATAGTCGCCCTGACGGCCACCGCCGGAGCTTGCGGAGTTCTCTTCTATCGCGTGAACAAGGTCGCAGGTTTGCTCTTTGTCCCCTACGTTGCCTGGCTGGGATTTGCCACCGCTCTGAACTATGCCATCTGGAAACTGAACCCCGAAAAGAAGGAACCTGCGTTGCTGGAGGAGGAGAAGCCCTCAAGCAGCCATGCAGGCAAGGCGAATTGAGCTGGAAAAGGGCCTGGAAATGTTTTAAAATCTATTAGTAATTAAGTGTCTTTGTGCATTCAAAATGTAATTAGTTATCGGGAAAAGTTATATATGTAGTACCAGGGATGGTCAGTACTTGGATATATATCGATAAGTGATCCAGAAAAAGAGCTTTAACAAAGAGCAAGCTCTATTTGAAAATTGTATTTGTATTGTAAAATAAAGTTGCTAAATTAATTAAAGTTGTTTATGTTTTGTTTTTGCAGTTTTAAGCTGTTTTTCTTTTGTACAAGTTAAGTATTGTTTGTTGTTTAAAAAATATATTTAAGTAAACAAATGTGTATATCTATTACCAAAATTTACTTAAAAACCCCCAAATATCTTGATAGTAAACCGCTTTTAAATAAAAAAAATCGTAGTTTTTTTTTATTAAATTCATAAATAAAATAAGATTCCACAATAAAATATTTAAAAATTTCAAATTTTATTCAAAAGTTGGCCACAAAATTATCAAAAAGCTGGTTTTACTCTGAAAAAAATAAAGATGCAACTGAAAAAAACCGAAAAATTGAGTCTGAAAATGCGCGGTAAGTTCAAAATGCAAGGTTTGCCGATCGAAAGATTGAATCTGGTTAGGATTAATTGGTGCCGCTAGAAGGAGCCGGAGGAGAGGCTGCAGCGGGCGAGGGATTCGGATTAGGATTGGGCGGTGTTCCGGTCTTGGGGGAGTTGGCTTTCGGCGAGGCGGCCGCCTTGGGCGAGGGCGTGCCCTTGGGTGAGTTTGTCGCCGGCTTCTGCTGTGGTCCTCCTGTCTGCTTGGGCGGCGATGCCTTGTTGTTGGCCTGTTGCTTGGCCTGCTGCTGCTGCTGCTGCTGCTGGGGATTTGCCGGATTGGCTGTCTTTGGAGGCGAAGGCTTTCCAGTGGCCTGAGCTGGCTTTGGTGCCACTGCTGGCTTGGCATTGGCATTGGGATTTGCCTGCTTCTGCTGCTGTGGCTGCTGCTGCTGAGGCTTGTTTCCCCCTCCTCCTCCTCCTGGTGGCTGCTTCTGTGCCTGCTGTGGCTTCTGCTGCTGCTGCTGCTGCTTGGGCTTCTGTCCTCCAGCTGGCTCTGGCTTCTTCTGAGGCGCCTGCTTCTGTGGCTGGGGATTTACTGCAGCCGTTGGCGATGGTGGAGTCACGGCAGCAGCTGGCGACGGCGGTGTCCCAGCCGCCGCAGAAGGTGGAGCCGAGGTAGGAGTCGATGGTGGCGTTAAGGGGGCCACTGGTGAAGGAGCCTCTGCTGTGGGAGTTGCAGCTGTCGCTGGAGTCAAAGATGGTGGCGTCACTGGCTTGCTGGGTGGCTGCGTCTCCTTGGCAGTGGGAGCAGGAGCAGGTGCAGCTTCTGCCACTGGCTTTGGAGTCTCTGCTGGCTTTTCAGGAGCAGCTGGAGCTGGCTCTTGAGCTTTGGTTGGCTGAGCGCTGATTGCTTCAGGAGCTGGAACTTTGACAGCTTCGGTGGCTGGAGCCTTGGCAGCTTGGGGAGCGGCAGCCTTTGCAGCTTCAGGAGCCGGAGCCTTTGCAGCTTCAGGAGCCGGAGCCTTGGCAGCTTCAGGAGTCGGAGCCTTGGCAGCTTCGGTGGCTGGTGGCTTGGCGGCCTCTACGGGTGGTGTCGTCGATTGCTTGGCCGGTGGCGGAGTCATTTGCTTTGGTTTCGCCGCAGTATTCTGGGGAGGAGTTCCCTGCTTTGGCTTCTCCGCAGCATTCTTGGGAGGAGACCCTTGCTTTGGCTTTTCCTGAGCTCCCTTCGGAGGCACCTCTGCTGGGGGAGCACTCTTGGTAGGTGATTCTTGCTTGGGAGCACTCTTCGGCGAAACTTCCTGAGAAGCCACACTCTTAGGAGGCTCTGCCGCAGTGGTTGGGGCTGCCGTAGAAGCAATTGTGGGCTCCACTTTAGCTGGCGGAGTGACAGGAGGTGACACCTTTTTTGGTTCTTCAATTTTTGAAGCCGGAGTTGCTTCTGAAGTTGGTTTCTCCGCCGGTTTGGGTGGCTCCGAAGCCACAATCTGGGCCAGGGTCTGGACACCGGGAGCTCCCCAGGCCTTGGGTGGCTCAGGTTTTGGCTCCGCTGCTACTGCTTTGACCTCAACCTTTGGTTTTTCTGCTTGGTTCTTGGCTTCAGGGGCTACATTTTGAGCGTTCTGTTCGGCTTTGGGAGCAGCTGGTTTGGGTTGGGGCTCCGCTTTCTTGGCTTCGCTGGTCTTTGGTTGAGGTGACTTTTGGTCGGTCGGCTTAGGTTTCTCCAGCTTTTGTTCAGTGGGTTTTGGAGATTCCTTCTTCTGCTCCTGGTTAGCTTGTGGTTTCTGAAGATCCTGTGCTGGAGGAGCTGCTGCAGCTTGGACAGGCTTCTCTTTGTCAGCTGGTGGAGCCTGTGGCTGGGCCTTTGCTTGATCCTTTGATTGATCCTTGACTTGATCCTTAGCTTGATCTTTGGCTTGATCCTTGCCCTGGTCTTTGTTCTTATTCTGTTTATCCTTGTTTCCCTGCTGCTGCTCCTTTTTCTTGCCTTCCTGGCCCTGAGCCTTCTTGTTGTCCTGCTTGTCCTTGGGCTTTGCTGCCTCCTGGGGCTTCGGTTGCTGTGGCTTTGACTCCTGCTTCTTGCGCTCCTCCTTCTTCGGCGGCTGCTCCTGCTTAGCAGAAGCCTCCACCTTGGCCACCTCATCGAAATCCCCCACTAGCAATGGAACTTCATCTTCCTCCTCCGCACTAGTGGGCAAGGCTGCTCCTTCTCCGCCTGCCGTTCCCTTTTGCTGGTTCATGGAATTGGCGTACATCCGGAGTTGGACCACGGTTTCTTGACCCAATTGCGGCAATATATCCGGCAGCATCTCCACCACCTTCCTCGTCTCACCGTGCCCGGTGACGGCGAACGTATTGGCCGAGAGAGAGGCCTGGGCCTTCGGGTTGTTGAAGTGAATCACGGTCAGGTCATCCTTGATAATGTTGACCTCCTCGATGCCGGGTATTGTGCTAACCGATAGCTTCTTGAGCGAACTTTGAAGCTTCTTGTCGTCGGTGGCGGCGGTCTGGTGCATGACCTTCTTCTTGCGGCGGGGCGTGCCCTTGCCGCCGATGCGAACCTGCGCCTGCAGGCGCTTCAGCTTCTCCACGTTCATGGCGTGATCTTAAATATATGGTAAATATTGAATATATATTACATAAAAATGGTGACTAAATCTACCTCAGAGGCGGCGGCGACACGATGTGCAACTCCACGGGCGAAATAACGACGAATGCAGCGGATCCTCGAGCAGAACCAAACCCGAAATCCAACGCAGCGAGCGACAGCGCTGCTTTTATTAATATATTCGTTCGGCCTGCTCTTTTTTTCGCATTTTCGCACATTCTTTTTGCTTTTCTTTCTTCTTTTTTGCGAGAGGAAAACAAGAAAAATGTCGCCCCAGTGCTTAAAAATAGCTCCACATTTCCTCTACACGCTGGCCGAGGAGGCGATGCTTTGCTTTAGTTTTTCAGTTTAGTTGAGGCGACGGCGGCTTCTCTCGGCGTGAGGCGGCTGCCTGCCTGGCCAAGCGGCTGTTGAACTTCCCTCTCGGGAAGCTAGGGGCTGGGGATTGGGATTGGGATGGTATGGGATGGGTACCCGAAATAGATGGCGAACTTTTCTCACTTGCAGCAAAATAGTATGTATTTTTTTGATAAGAGAGAAATGTTAAGGCGGCGAGAAAGCATTTTGTTGCAAATTGAATAATTCATTTCACCTATGACTAAGAGATTCATATTTACTTTTTGGTTAAATGAACCTGCAGCCAAAATGGTTTTAACTTAAATTTTGAGACAAAACAAAAAATTAGGAAATAATTTAAAAAAGTTGAAAACAAGATCATATTTTTGAAATATTTCGTATGAAAAGAATAAATACGAAAGGTACGTTTTTTACTACCTTTCTTCACCATTTCTGTTTTTTTTTAACTTTACTAAATTCAATTTTAAATAAGTCCATCATGTTTTTAGGGAATAATAGTAATATACATTTGAAAATATTAAAATAATATTGAAAATGTCTTGAAGCTTTACTGAGATTCTACTGGCACCTTTCTTTGGGTTCCTAAAACACACAAAAATTCTTTAAAGAAAATTCAACTTTGTAACATAAAAATGTAAACAAACAAAAATACCATATAGCACCTATTTAAAGTATACCGTTCTATCTGGAATATATTTTCAATCATAAATACCTTGCAATCAATATTAAAAATAAAAGTTCCATAAAGATTATCCTTTAAATCTTAGTGGCTTTTGGTTGATCGCTGGCTATTCGGTTGCAGAACTCTGAAATCTTGCCCGCATTGAAGGAGTTGCACACTTCGTGGGCCATTTCCTGCATTTGAATCTCTTTCTGGAGGACATCCTCCATTTCTGCAAACTTTGACTCCTCGGCCTTTAGTTGAGCCAGCATGGCCATGTTCTAAAAAATAAAATATAAATATTAGGAAACACCTTAAAGTTATGATTTACTAATAAAGAACAATATATATGTATAACAACTAAAACTTGATCTTAGAGAAATACCTCTTAATCCTTCTCTCTGTGTTCACTCAAAACTTCCCCACTCACCTCTCGAAATATTATCTTCATTTCCTCCAGCTGGGCCGTCTTCTGCTCTTCGTCTTCACTGGTGAACGTATTCTCAAAATGAAGATCCTGCGCCAAGAGCACATTTGGTGGAACGTGAAACACCTTCTTGTCCAGATCCAGCAGAGCCTGCAGGCCCTGCTGGCAGGTTTCCTGCACCTGCTCCACCACAGCCATTTTCCGGTCATCCAACAAAACCGATGTGGCCGGTGTCTCGATTTGCTTTATGACCTTTCCCAGGGCTTTTGTTATGATGAACTGTGCCAGGTATTTGTCTAGAGAAAGAAAAAAGGTTCAAGGTTGCAACTTTTTCTGTGAAGACCTAAAGAATGGGCTATCTTAGGCTTACGTTCCGCTGCCATCTGTTCCGACGTGAAGTTGAACAGTCTTTGGTCTTGAGCTCTCTGAAGGAAGTCCATGGCGAAGGTTTAAGGTGAAGTATTGATAGTAAATTCCAAATAAGTGCAGAGAAATGTAATTGTAAACGAAAAGACGCGCAATTTGGATTAAGAGTGACCGAACTGGTAAATTCGTGAAAAAACACGCTTATGAATAGTGCTGCCAACCTGTACCTGTACTTGTGTTATCGATATCGATATTTGTTGCTGAGTTGGCAGGACTGTCTGGATCAGCAGGCGGCGACTCGCGTGCGTTTTTGTTTTGATTTGTTTACAATGCTGCTACGGCGAAATCTCCTATTTCCCGCCGTGCGGTTGCTGCACAGGAGTCTCCGTCGACACCAGCATGACCACATAGTGCTCCATCCGGAAGTGCGGCAAGCCCTGCAACTCCATAAGCCGGTGGTGGCTCTGGAGTCCACGATAATTACGCACGGAATGCCGATGCCGGAGAACGTGACAACGGCCCTGGCGGTGGAGGAGCAGGTGCGCCTCCATGGAGCTATTCCCGCCACCATTGGTATACTGGACGGAAGGATCAAGGTGGGCCTAACCCGCGAAGAACTCACCACGCTGGCCGAGAAGCCCCGGGATCAGGTCATCAAGTGCTCGCGTAGGGATCTCCCATTCGTGGTGGCCAGGAAACAGAGTGGCGGTACCACTGTGGCAGCCACCATGATCATTGCCCATCGGGTGGGCATCAAAGTGTTCGCCACGGGAGGAATCGGTGGCGTTCATCGCGATGGTCAGGAGTCTTTAGATGTTTCCGCCGACCTCACCGAGCTGGGACGCACTCCAGTGGCTGTGGTTTGCAGCGGTGTCAAGTCGATCTTGGACATACCGCGCACACTGGAGTATCTGGAGACACAGGGCGTGTGTGTGGCCAGCTACGAGAGTTCCGGTGGCATCTTTCCGGATTTCTATACCCGCGACAGTGGCTGCACGGTGCCCTATGACCTTGGCAGTGCCCAGGAGGCGGCGAAGCTCCTTCAATCCTGGCAGGAGCTGCAAATGCAGTCGGGTGTGCTCATCGGAGTACCCATTCCCGAGGAATTTGCGGCGGATAAGGCCAAAATAGAGGCCGCCATCCAAGAGGCAACGGAGCAGGCCAAGGCCCAGGGTGTGTCCGGGAAGGAGGTGACTCCCTTCCTGCTCGCCGCCATAGCCAAGATCACAGGGGGAAGCAGCCTCAAGTCCAACATTGCCCTCATCAAGAACAATGCCAAGGTGGCAGCGCAAATAGCTGCTTCGCTCAGCGAAATATCCTCGAGAAACGACTCCACCGCCGCCGCCTCCCCTTCTGGGATATCAAGGAAACCCCTGGTTGTTGGGGCCTCCATTCTGGATCTCTCCTTTACCGTGGATGACCAGAAGCGGGATGTAAGGCTGGACGGAGCCACCTACTCTGCGGTGGCTAAGCAGGCAGCCGGCGGCGTGGGCCGCAACATTGCGGAAGGAATTTACAAGTTGTACGGCGATGTGAATCTCATATCGGCCGTGGGCAACGACCAGATGGGCCACACCCTGCTCCAGATGATGCCCAAGGCCCTGAAACGTGGCATAATCCTCGAGAGTAACCAAAATACCTCGCTCTGCTCGCTGATATTTGACAAGTACGGTGACTGCAGGCTTATACTCGGAAACATGGAGATCCATCAGAGCATTACGCCCGAGACACTGCAGGCTCACCATCAATTCTTCGCCGATGCGCCCATCATCGTCATGGACAGCAACATTTCAGAGCACGCGATGGCCAGCATCCTGCATCAGGCGCAAAAGAACAAGATACCCGTCTTCTTCGAGCCCACGGACATGTTTATAGCGGGGAAGCCCTTCAAGCTGCTCCCGGAGCTGACCAAGAACATACGTCTGATCAAACCCAATCTCCAGGAGCTCAAGACCATCACGGAGGCTATCACAGGTCAACCAGTGGTCTTGGAACTTGGCACCAAAGTGCCGCAGGAGAAACTCCTCCAGCAGGCCAAATTCATGATCAAGCAGATCGGTTCTCATTTCAACTGCATCATAGCCACCCTCGGCGACCATGGCGTGCTCCTTAGCTATCGCGGCGATGCCGAGCAGGATGCCAGCCTGCTCTTGGACGTCAGTAAATCCGCTGTGGCTCACCGTCTACGCTTCTACGCCGCCCCTCTGGTCCATAATATAGTCAATGTCTCCGGTGCGGGCGACAGTTTCTGTGCCGGATTCATCACGGCACTGCTGCAGCAGGGACGCATCCTGGACGAGTGCGTGGCAGCCGGCTTCGTGGCCGCCGAGAAAGCCCTGCAATCGGAGTCGGCAGTGCCGCAGTCCTACTTCTCCCACTCCGAGACCTTTGAGGGTCGCTACAAGCAGAAGGCAAAAAGCCTCCAGCAGCAGAGCATTTAGAAGATATTGAAGAGAGGATTAGTTACTCAGGATCACTCGAGATCTCTCAGGATCTTTGCTTTATTTTCCCAGGTAGTCACTTAAAGGAGAGAGTACAATATGAAGGAGGATGTAGACGTCTAGTAGGCCCATCTGAAAGATGCAACAAAAGCCAGATTGTCAAAGAAGAAAAATTAAGTATGAAATAAATATATAAAAAACTATAAAAACCATTAAATGGTTACACTAGTTTTTGACAATAAAGCCCGCCTAAAAATTTACAGAATCTCTTGTCTAATTTTGGTTTCACTAAAAGTCGAAATTGTAATTAAAGAAACGCCTCATTTCGACCCTCATCTCTTTTCTCTAAATCACTTTTTAAGATAATACTCACAGCTTAATGACTTTGTCCTTGCCACCAGAGGCCACCCGAGACCCGTCGGGCGCCCAGTCCACGCCAAACACCTCATCCGCATGGCCAGGCAGCTCCTGGGCCAGTTTCTTGGTCTGAACACTCCAAACTGTAGCAAGAAAATAAACTTTTTAAAAGAGCACTCCATCAGATGGATAGAAGTGTGACCTACCCTTCAATGTGGAATCTTTGCTGCCGGAAACGATCAAGCGTGAATCCGCTGACCAGGCCAGCGTGTAAACAGCCTGCACATGTCCCCGGAAGGTGGCCATATACTGGCCATCATGGGCACGCCACAGACGCACCGACTTGTCAAAGGATGCCGAGGCAATGAGCTTCACATCCGGCGAATATTTCACATCGTTGACCACATTCTGGTGGCCAGTCATGCGCTCCACGCACTTGTTTTGGTTGTTGCGCCACAGATAGAGGGTGTTGTCATCCGAGCAGGAGACCAGAGACTCCACCTCATCGGGACAGACAGCCTGGTAGCGCTTCAAGGCAGATTCCTGCAGTTCTTCAGCTGTAAATGATTGGTTTCTATAATTAAAATAAAAGGAAGGATAGAAGGATCAGGGTTACTTACTGCTCTGGCTGAGGTGACTCTTGGAACGATCCTTGACCGGGTGAAAGGGACCTGTACGCAGCACATAGTCCGTGCTCAAGGCAATGTTATTCACCCAGTGGGCATGGCCAGAGAAGGTGCGACACAGGATGCCATCGGCAGCACGCCACATCTTTACCGTGCGATCCTTGGAGGAAGTGTAAATGAGACCAGCTCCGCCCCATCTCACCGCTGTCACTGCATTCGTGTGACCGGCAATGTTCATCAGGCACTGGCCCAGTTTCACATCCCAAATCCTGCAGTCACCGTCACCGCTGGCGGACGCCAGCCTCCGACACTCGGGATCCCGGTGATATGGCTCCCAGGCGAGGCAGTTGATGTGCTTCTTGTGTCCACTGAGCGGTCGTCCCTTTTGCTGGCCCGTTTCCGGATCCCAGATAATTATGGAGCCCGCCTTGCAGCCACTGGCCAAGCGCTTGCCATCCGGAGCCCAGGAAACGCACAAAACCCACTGCTTGTGACCCGTGCAGGTGAAGTGCGGAGTCTCTGTGTTGAGATCCCACAGGCGCACAGTCGTATCGCCACTCCCGCTGGCCAAATGCGCTCCATCGGGACTAAAGTTGAGGGAAACCACAGCCTCGGCATGGCCCGGCATGGAGCTCGTGCATCTCGTCACAGGGCGAACCTTGAAGACCGCCTGTGGCTGGTAAACAATGTCGATGACATTCTCTGTGTCCACGGTAGCCAGGTCCAGGGTGTCCTCGAGGCTCTTCTTGATCTCGTAGTCGCCCACGAAGAACAGATAAGGCGTGGTCTCCTCATTCTTCAGCAGAGCGTTGCAAATGAGGCCCAGTTGCTGGGTCGTAATCCCCGCTGGCAGATCAATGGGCGGCCCAGCTTCCTCGCCCGTGTCTGATATAAGGCGCGCCTGTATCGTGTGGGGCGTGGCCTGTGGTGCCTCACCGGCGGAGTCCGTTTCCGCCTGCATTTTTTGTTTTTTGGCCAGCATTTTCACAGAAAGCCTCGGCGAGAAAAGAACAAAACAAAAATAAACACGTGCCGCGAGTGGTCGAGTGTGACCAGGCAGGAGCAAAGAAGGCGATAACTCTGTAATCGATAGATCTTATAGCCTTTGGCGAATTTGTAGCCAAATCCAGCTTTTTTCATGAATTTCATTTTATAAAAAATTTATTTAAACAATTAAAATCAATTATTTAAATAATTTTAATACAAGTTAATTAATTTGAATATTATATTGTATGGAATATAATTTTTTAATTTTTATTAAATAACAGAACTATTTATATCGTTATATCGATACTATCGTAACACAACGTCTCAGCTCTAACCGATCCAACGAATTTTCATGTACGCGTCTTGGTGAAATTTTCGTTAAAAAATGGAAAATATACCGCGAACGCATGAAGGTAAGTGAAATAAAGGCATCCAATTGTCCAGCTACCGGGTCAGGGAATACCGGGATGCAGAAATCCACCACTGGAAGTCCATAGTAATCCCAATTCCCAGTACCCGGTTTGCATGAAAATCAATCAACTTGAAACGATTTTTCTTCTCCCCACACAAGACATCGAGGCACAGATTAGCGTGATCCAGGAGAAGAAGACTGAGCTGGCCAAGAGCACGGCGGCGGCAGCTGGCGTCGGTTTGCTGGACAGTGGCGGTTTCTTCGATAGCGACCTCTACGACGATGAGGCCAACAAGGGGAAGGGTCGCTACGAGGGCTACAACACCTCTATAGCGGCCAACGATGCCGAGGAGGTGGACGAGGACGAGGATGATGGCTTCCCCGTGCCCCAGAAGCGCACCACCTACACGGCGCCCACTTCTGTACTGAAAGATGTCACCCAGGGCAAGGAGGATGTGGATCCCATGGCCGATCGGCGGCGTCCCACGATTGCGGATCGTGAGGATGAGTACAGGCAGAAGCGGCGACGCATCATTATCTCACCGGAGCGAGCGGATCCCTTTGCCGAAGGCGGCAAGACGCCGGATGTGGGCTCCCGCACATACACGGACATCATGCGGGAGCAGATGCTGAAGGGCGAAGAGACAGAGCTGCGGCGCAAGATCCTAGAGAAGACCAAGGATGGCACGCTGGTCAAGTCTTCCACGTCGTCGTCGTCAGCAAATGGTGAATCCTCGGCCCCCAAGGAGGGCGCCCGAAAGCGGGGAAGATGGGATCAGACAGTCAGCGATAGCTTTGTGCCCGCCAAGGTGGCGGCCACACCAAGCAGCGCCGCCACTCCCACCTGGGAGGATGTGAGTATAAAGCTAAGATTCCCTTCTCCTTAAAAAGATTTATTAATTTATATTTTTCCCTTCAGAAAACTCCTGGAGACCATCGTTGGGATGAGACGCCAGGCCACAAGGGCAGCGAGACGCCCGGCGCTACGCCTGGACTGGGCACACGCATCTGGGATGCCACTCCCGCACATGCCATGACCCCGGGACACGAGACACCGGGCCATGAGAAATCGGCGCGCAGGAATCGCTGGGATGAGACACCAAAAACAGAGCGGGAAACACCGGGACACAGTGGTTGGGCAGAGACCCCCAAGCCCGACCGGACAGGCAGTGGAGCCGGCGGCGAGAGTATCTCCATTGAGTCCACACCAGGAGCCTCGAAACGTCGCTCGCGCTGGGATGAAACCCCCTCGAATGCCACGCCCGCTATTACGCCCACAAACGCCAATGCCATGACACCGAGCATGACGCCTAGTATGACACCGCATGCCACTCCTGGTCATGCCACCCCTCTGATGACACCCGGAGGAAGCACGCCTATTGGAGTCAAGGCAATGGCAATGGCTACGCCCACGCCGGGTGCACTGGCTGCCATGACGCCGGAGCAGCTGCAGGCCTATCGCTGGGAGAAGGAAATCGATGAGAGGAACAGGCCGTACACAGACGAGGAGCTGGACCAAGTGTTCCCGCCGGGATACAAGATTCTACCGCCGCCCGCGGGGTACGTACCCCTCCGGACGCCCGGCCGTAAGCTTATGGCCACACCCACGCCCATAGCTGGGACACCCGCCGGCTTCTTTATCCAAGTGGAGGACAAGAATGCCAAGTTTATGGATAATCAGCCAAAGGGACAGAATCTGCCCTTCATGAAGCCGGAGGATGCGCAATATTTTGACAAGCTCCTGGTGGACGTCAACGAGGATGCCCTGTCGCCGGAGGAGCTAAAGGAGCGCAAGATTATGAAGCTATTGCTGACCATAAAGAATGGTTCGCCGCCGATGAGGAAGTCAGCTCTGCGACAGATCACGGACAAGGCCAGGGAGTTTGGTGCCGGGCCGCTCTTCAATCAAATCCTGCCCCTGCTCATGTCGCCGACACTGGAGGATCAGGAGCGTCATTTGCTGGTCAAGGTGATTGATAGAGTGCTCTACAAGCTGGACGACCTGGTGCGTCCCTATGTGCACAAGATTCTGGTCGTGATAGAACCCCTTCTGATCGACGAAGATCACTATGCCCGCATCGAGGGAAGAGAGATCATTTCCAACCTTGCCAAGGCGGCGGGCCTGGCCACCATGATCTCCACCATGCGACCGGATATCGACAACATTGACGAGTATGTGAGAAACACAACAGCCCGGGCCTTTGCCGTGGTGGCCTCCGCCTTGGGTATACCCTCGCTGTTGCCTTTTCTGAAGGCGGTTTGCAAATCCAAAAAGTCCTGGCAGGCGCGGCACACGGGCATCAAGATTGTCCAGCAAATAGCCATTCTTATGGGTTGCGCCATCCTGCCGCATCTCAAGGCGCTCGTGGAGATTATCGAGCATGGGCTGGTGGATGAGCAGCAGAAGGTTCGCACCATTACAGCCCTGGCCATTGCTGCCCTGGCCGAGGCAGCCACTCCCTATGGCATTGAATCCTTCGACTCCGTGCTGAAGCCCCTGTGGAAGGGTATCCGAACGCATCGCGGCAAGGGTCTGGCCGCCTTCCTCAAGGCCATCGGCTACCTCATACCCCTCATGGACGCCGAGTATGCCAATTACTACACGCGCGAGGTGATGCTGATCCTGATCCGAGAGTTCCAGTCGCCGGACGAGGAAATGAAGAAGATTGTCCTCAAGGTGGTGAAGCAGTGTTGCGCCACTGATGGCGTAGAGCCGCAGTACATCAAGGAGGAGATCCTGCCGCATTTCTTCAAGTTCTTCTGGAACCATCGCATGGCCCTGGACAGACGCAACTACCGCCAGTTGGTGGACACCACCGTGGAGATAGCCAACAAGGTGGGCGCCTCCGAGATCATCAATCGTGTGGTGGACGATCTCAAGGATGAGAACGAACAGTACCGGAAAATGGTGATGGAAACGGTGGAGAAGATCATGGGTAATCTCGGAGCGGCGGATATTGATTCCCGGTTGGAGGAGCAACTCATCGATGGCATACTGTATGCCTTCCAGGAGCAGACCACCGAGGATGTGGTGATGCTGAATGGTTTCGGCACCATAGTAAACCAACTGGGCAAGCGCGTGAAGCCCTACCTCCCACAGATTTGCGGCACCATCCTGTGGAGATTGAACAACAAATCCGCCAAGGTGCGACAGCAGGCGGCGGATCTCATCTCCAGAATAGCGGTGGTGATGAAGACCTGCCAGGAGGAGAAGCTAATGGGTCACCTTGGCGTCGTGCTCTACGAGTACTTGGGCGAGGAGTATCCCGAGGTGCTGGGCAGCATTCTGGGCGCCCTAAAGGCCATTGTCAACGTCATTGGCATGACCAAGATGACGCCGCCCATCAAGGACTTGCTGCCCCGATTGACACCCATTCTGAAGAATCGCCACGAGAAGGTGCAGGAGAACTGCATCGATCTGGTGGGCAGGATAGCGGATCGTGGCCCGGAGTATGTGTCCGCTCGCGAGTGGATGCGCATCTGTTTCGAGCTGCTGGAGCTGCTCAAGGCCCACAAGAAGGCCATCCGGCGAGCCACAGTCAACACCTTTGGTTATATAGCCAAGGCTATTGGCCCCCACGATGTGCTGGCCACGCTGCTCAACAACCTGAAGGTGCAGGAGCGTCAGAACCGTGTTTGCACCACCGTGGCCATTGCCATTGTGGCGGAGACATGTCGTCCCTTCACCGTGCTCCCTGCCCTGATGAACGAATACCGAGTGCCCGAGCTGAACGTCCAGAACGGTGTACTCAAATCCCTCTCCTTCCTCTTCGAATACATTGGCGAAATGGGAAAGGATTATATTTATGCCGTGTGCCCGCTGCTGGAGGACGCCCTCATGGACAGGGATCTGGTTCACAGGCAGACCGCCTGCTCCGCCATCAAGCACATGTCCTTGGGAGTCTATGGCTTTGGCTGCGAGGACGCCTTGACGCATCTCCTCAACTACGTGTGGCCGAATATCTTCGAGACATCGCCCCATCTCGTCCAAGCCTTTATGGATTCCGTGGACGGCCTGAGGGTGTCCTTAGGGCCCATCAAGATTCTGCAGTACACCCTGCAGGGTCTGTTCCATCCCGCGCGGAAGGTGCGTGATGTCTACTGGAAGATCTACAACTCGCTGTACATTGGCGGGCAGGATGCCCTTATTGCCGGCTATCCGCGCATCACCAATGATCCCAAGAACCAATACGAGCGGTACGAACTGGACTATGCGCTTTAAGTTTTAACCGAGTAGATCTATCTTTATATAGGACACGAAAATAAACACAAAAAAACCAAAATGTAGAAAATTAAAGGTTTTTTTTAACATGAGAGGGAAATCAAAGGTGGTGGTAGGTTTTGTTTTTGTAATTCTTACCCTATCTAAAGCTGTAGTAATTTCTTTATCACTAAAGAAGTCAAGAAACTCTCAAATAATTCTTGAGTTGGAATATGAAAACTTACGTTTCTTAATCTTTTTATCATTTATCATCTTTTCCGATTTCTTATCTGGCTGTTTTGTAGATTAGATAGAGGATTACTGATTGTAAATATTTATGGTGCTCCCAACTGTAGTATTTACTTTAAAAGATAGTAACAACTTTTGCAAGATATTGCTAGTACTAGATTTATATGGGTTGCATTTACTGGAAAATCACACAATAACTAAGCTATTTCAACTATAAATCTCTTGTTTTGTAATTTTTTGTTATGGAAACTACTATATGCTTATGGTTTTTTATATTATTAACCTATTACTAAAGTAATTTCCTTGGAAAACCAATGACTTACTGCATTCTATCAATGAACTCATAAGATGCGTAACGCTCATACTATTATATTTGAATTTCTATATACAAATATTAAGGGGTAACCTCTCTTTCAAGATACTTATAGCTTGTACATTACAGGCAAAGCTTATAGGACAAGATTTTAAATGATTTCAAAACCTTCTATTAAAAATAAGTTAAAACTCCCAGAAAAAAACCCAACTATATAACACAGATTGTACAAAACCGGGTTTTATTCTAAGTTTAGAGTCGCTTTGCTTGCTATACTGTGGACTTAATCTTTTGGCTTACGATAATACAAAAGTGTGAGTGTCTCATTGCCATGAGATTGGAACTTCTTCCTGGTCATCGATGGAGTAATGCCTGGACCACCTCTATCAGGCTCCTCAGGCCGAACATGTAGTTCTCATCGGGCAGAGCCTGCTCCGCTGGGTAGACGTGAGCAAAGTCAATCATACGGACACGCACCCAAGTCGAGGGGGAGGTGGGAGCATTGTCCTCCTGCTCCCCATGATGTGGGTGGTGACCATTGAGCAGCGGCTGGTCCTTCAATCTCGAGTAATCGTAGCAGATGAGCAAGGAGCTGGCGTAGAAGTGGTACAGCCGTTGGCTGTGAAACCAGTTGAGGATGTCCTGCAGCTGACGGAGCACTTCCTGTAGTAACAACTCCTTGCCCGCTCTCCGGGCCTTGGAATGGCTAGTGCTGGCATTAAAGAACAGGGCCATGGTCTCCTTGAATCCGTCCACGCTCAGGCTCTTGCCATAGTCCCTGCCTCGACGCAGAATTGTGGCTTTCTCGGTGTCCTGATCCGGAATATACACCTGGAAGCCGGGCAGGCACAGTCCCAGCGCTTGCTTACACTGCACATACTTGGCCTCCTCCACTTGCCGCTTGTGGGGAGAGGCTGCCGGATCCCAGGTTCGTTTACCCACCTTCACGTCCATGACGCACGGCTGGAGCATATCGCGCGTGAGGTCTTCCAGGCGAAGGAACGTGCGTTCGCGCTGATTCACAACCAGTTTCAGGGGGCCGTAAAATCGGGGGACGTGACCGCGGAGCAGGGCAAGGTCATTATCACCTAAAGCACCTGCCTCGGCGAGTGATTCATAGAATCTCAGCTCTCTTTCGCCGCACTCCGGCTTCCCCAGGGGCTTCAGCACGCAGCCACCCGTGTAGTCTTGCAGGAGTCCAATGGCCTCGGCGTTGCTGGACTCGAAATTGTGGCCGGCCACCTGTGTGTTTAACTGGCGGAATCCCTCGGGCAGTGCCGGCTGCCAGGAACACCTGGCCGGGGGTGGTGGCAACTCCTGGTCGACGACATCCTGTTCCTTTTTGGCCATCTGACCGGGAATGGGATGCTGCTCCTGCTGGAATCTCAGTGGAATCTGAATCTGGTTAGTCGTCTCTCAAACAGGTGCTGCCAACTTGATGGATCGTAAAGAAGCGCTTTAGAAAAAAGCCAGAAATAGCTGAAAAATATGCCACAGGTGGCAGCACCATCCTGTGCTGGAAAACGCCAAAACTTTAGGGTTGCAAAACTCACGCGACTTTTGTTTTTTTTGGGAGTGGTTTTGTTTGTTAATTATTTTTGCGTTTATTTACGGTTTTGCTATCAATTTTAAGCTATTTAAGTTATTAAAGACTTTGTGAGGCTCCATCTGGTGAAGATGAAGTCGTGGGAGATAGCCCTGGTGGCCATTGCTGCCGTTTATTTGTGCTCGCAAGGTAAGTGACCACACCTAAAGAATTACAAACACAAAAAGCCAATTTAATTCCCATTTCCTAGTGAGTTTTGTGGCCGGCTTGGAGTGTTATGTGTGCTCCAACCAAACGGGCAATACGGAAAAGTGTCTGAACACCATCAAGACCTGTGAGTCCTATGAAAACACCTGCGGAACGGAGATCCGCTGGGGATCGCAGCCATACTTCTCGGAGGGCGCCCTCAAGCAGTATTACGTGTCCAAGCGCTGCATGACCAAGGAGCAGTGCCAGTCCAAGCGGAAGCGCTACATGCAGCTGTACTGCACCCACATCTGGTACGAGGATTGGGCGTGCAACGAGTGCTGTCAGGGCGATCGCTGCAACTACTTTGTGATTGTGAGTAGAAAAAATGGGGAATCCTAGAGTCCTTGAACTAACCTTTACTTCTTGCAGAGCGGTGCAACATTGAGGCAAGGCTTTGGGCTAGGCTTGACCCTGGGTATCACGCTCTTGGGTATGGCAGCCCGGCTCATTTCAAGATCTTAGCCGGCAACACACAGAAAATACCCTCCGCTTGATTTATTAATTTCAACAAAGCCGTCCATAAGCTAAGTAAGATTACATCCATAACCATTTCCTTTTGTGGAATGGAACGCGTCCAACTAGTGCCTTGACTCTCGCTCAAATATTTTACAAGTTTTAGTAGAGTAAGTAACGTAAGCACATGATTTTTAAAGACAATTTATAGGCGTTTTTCGAATATTTTATACATTCCCAAAAAGAGAATAATTTCCCTTAGGAAAATATATTTTAATTTCTTTGTTTGCCTCAAAAAGTACAGAAAAACAAAGAACTTTGTAGGAATTTCGATATTTTAAATTCCGATATTTTAAAATTTTACGATATTTTCGATTTGCTATTGAGTGAGAATATTTTTTCCATATGCTAAATCGGATTTTACCTCTTGAAATACATCAATTAAGAACGAACCTGCAACTCACACTTCCTGCTCAACGAAGACATTTCTCTAACGAATTTTATTTAACATTCCTTTTAAAAAATGAACTATTTTCAAACTAAATATTAATACATTACTTGTAAAACCAAATTAACTTCTTGAAATCTAGCCAATATCTACCACAAAAATCTCAAAAGTTGTAAACAATCTTTAAAGAACATATTTTAGAGACCTTTTCTTTTCTTTTTTACCTTATTTGTGTCTTGGAAAAAAAGGAATGATGACAAAATTTACATATAATATTATATTATTCTATAAATGCACAAAAGGCCATCCAAAAGTCTGACAGGCTGCAGTTAATCTAAAAATAATATAAATTTAACAAACCACAATTGAAATAATTTTACAACCAAGAAAATGCCTTGATTAAAACCACTGTTGTATCTTAGAATCTCACACCCCCGACACCCACAATAAAGCAATTCTGGCGTCTGTTTGGCGCTTTAATATACAAATATATCTCACAATTAACTCACATCCTTTCCAACGATCCATCACTTGGCACAGAAGCAGCCGGCGGTCACGGTAACTGTTTTGAATTGCCAAGGCTGGGCCATCATGTCCCTGTTCAGCCAGGAGTTGGCTGCACTAGCGCTCTCTGGTGCCATCTCCTGCGTTAAAACCTTAACCTTATACTCCAGTGGGCGGCAATTGGAGCCGTGAGTGCACTTGGCCAGATCCTTGCCCGAGTGCGACTCGCAAACGGCGTTCATTAGGTAGCGAGGAAAGGCCTGGCTGCCCAAGTCCAGCAGTTCGTTCTAAGGAATCAATGGAGGATCATAAATCATCTATATTTCAGTTTTTCCCAAAAAAACAAAACAAACCGTAACTTTGCAATCACAGCCAGCGGAGTGGACATCATTCCGCTTGGTAGCCAGCAGGTCCTCATAGAAGTCGTTGTAGTACATCGGCGGCAACTGGTGGGGCATGGCTCTTGGTGATGCCGGCGCCTCCATGGGATGAGGTGTACTGGGTGGGAAGCCAAAAATGGCACTCAGCATCTTGGAGGTACTGCGATCCGGCTGCTGCTCATCCTGCACCTGATCTTCAAGACACTGGGGCTCGCAGCGTCTCAGACCGACCATCTCCTCGTAAACGCCATCGCTGGGGTACCGATTCGTGGCGTATCCTTTATTTGCCAGGATCAACAGCGCCAGCGCTATGGAAAAGGGCAACTATAAGGGGAAAAAACATTCTTTTCATCATTTATATTTATTTATATTTTATATATTTTTAAACATATTTTATAAAATTTTTAAACATATTTTATATATTTTTAAATATAGTTTTTATATTTTTAATAAATTATATATATTTTTAAATATACTTTATATATGTTTAAATATACTTTATATATTTTTAAATATATTTTATATATTTTTAAATATATTTCACATATTTTTAATATTTATCAAAAACTCACCCAGGGCATCCTGCTCGATCTGTGCCTGTCCAGCACTAAACTTCTTGTGCGGCTCTGGCAAAGGAGTCTTGGCCCTTTTTATACTCATCTTGGACAAAAGGCCAGAGCCCCGCTCGGATTACCTTTTGTGGAGAAGAGCAACTCCATTATGGGCCGTCACCTGGACAGGATGGAGAACAATGGAATCAACTGTTGACACCACAACAATGACCGCACCAAGCTCAAGTGCTGATGGCGAAGGGGTTGAGTAGAGTCCGTCCCTTGGCTATTTATACACTTTCCTGTGGCTTTCCAAGGCGATGGTGGTAGTGGTGGTGGGCGAGTGGGAAATGGCTTTAAGGCCTTAAGTGTTGTGGGAGTGTGTTGTGCTGGAGTGGGTCCAAAGGAAGCCCACTGACCCAGACATGTGTGCACAGGCAAAGGGCAACCTGATCCTCCCGCCTGCCGCCGTGGGATGACCACTGCTTGTGGGGTGGCTTCCGAAACAGTCTCCGAAAAGTTTTTGGTCTAGGTAGGCATACTTTTAAGCGGACAGGCAAAGAGGGCTTGCCTTCACGATGGGATTTGTATTTTCCGGAATTTTCCCTTAATTTTCCTTAACTTTTGTTTCTTTTATTAGAAAATTTGCTACATATTTTGGCTAAGAGAGGTTAGAAGATATACTTTCTATACAAATGCTTCTAAATTTTAGTAAATACGGAAATATACACAAAAAATTTAGGTATTACCATCTCCCTAGACATCGCCAGGACTCCCTTTCCCTTTTCAGACGCCACTAGGTATGAGCTCACTGTGTCTCTGCTTATTTTTTTGGCCACATCTTGGGTCAGGTGCAGAGCCTATGCCCCCAAAGAAATGGTATGTCCGGCTAGACCGACTGCCAGAGGTATCATTGGGTCAGAGTTGGACCTCCACTGAAGACTATACTATATGCCATAGTAGGGTGCCCGACGAGTGTGTAAGGTATAATGAACGGACTCTGGGTCTGGGACTAGCCTTCTAGGGCTTCCCGTTCGGCGGGGGCTGCTCGCAGCTAGACCACTGTGGAAGTACCCGCCTCTCTCAGTCGAAATCGCGTCGTCGAGGCAAGAACATTGCCCACTGTGTGTCCACAGTTTGACATGCACAGCTAGCCAATTGCTTTCGAACCCAAAGAAGAACTCTGGTTATTCCCCGAGGAAGATGCAGCAGCTTCCTCCGCTGGTCGCGGATTTATGCTGAGCTGCAGCTGCCTTCCAGGAGAGGAGTAGGTTCTTCTCATCGGTGCTGCTGTTGTACAGTTCTTTTTTTCCGCCGTGGAATTTGTCGAAGCGGAAAAGCGGCGAGAAGCAGCAGCAGCGCCCGCGAAGCCCTCAAAGTGTCCGACGAAAATCGTTAAAAAATAGCAGAGCAACAAAAAAAAAACAACACTCAATCGGCGACTATGTCACGACGCGCTTGAAGACCGTTATAGATAGGCAAAGATTTGGGATTTGCAGGAGAGATCCAAACAGAACAGAGCCTGCTACAGCAGCTCCCGAAGCTTCAGCGGCTTCTTTAATCCATTTTCACCCATCTTTAAGCTCAGGATTCGCATGGACAAAGGCACAATGAAGCGCAAGCAGAGGAGATACAGGTGGGGATTTGCTATAATCAATATAGAAATCTGAAAATTACTTATAAACCTGAACTCCTAAGTTAAAGAAAAGGCAACGACCTTAGAATACCCGATCACTAAATCATACATAGTTTTTGATTTTGTCTCTCTCTTTTTGTACCCCAAAAAAACAGAACCACATTCAACACCCTTCAGCTGCAGGAGCTGGAGCGGGCCTTTCAGCGCACCCACTACCCCGATGTCTTCTTCCGGGAGGAGCTGGCCGTACGCATAGACCTGACAGAGGCCCGAGTCCAAGTGTGGTTTCAGAACCGGCGAGCCAAGTGGCGAAAGCAGGAGAAGATCGGTGGCATGGGAGGCGGAGAGTACAAGGAGGGAGCCCTCGAGCTGGATGTGACGACGGCAGCGGCCTACGATGACAGTGCCAGTGCTGTGCTCGGGCAACTAGACAGTGCTTTGGGTAGGGATTACCCAGGGATATATTATAACTTTTCTAATATTTTTTTAACCCACTTCCTAGGTGGCAGTGGAACCCTTCTGCCAGACACACCCCCGCAATCCTCCAACTCCTTGGACAACGAACTTAAGGCTCCCTATGGAACAGGCGGCATGTCGCCTTCGCGGCTATCGCCCAATATCTTCTTGAACCTCAACATTGACCACCTTGGACTGGAGAGAGGAGGCAGTGGCCTGTCCATGGAATGGTCCACCTATCCACCTCAGAGTCAGGGCCAGACGCAACCGCAAATGGAGGTGGAAAACCAACAGCTTCAGCAGCAGCAGCAGCATCAGCAGCACCCGCCTCAGCAGCTTCATCAGCAGAATCCTCACCAGGAGAATCCGCACCAGCAGCAGCACCATCAGCAGGCTCTGGAGCTTGCCAACGCCTTGGACCTGGACATGACCGATGGCTCTTCCGCCTACGATGAGATGAAGTTCCTCAGCGTGGACCAGTTCACGATCGATAGTTTCAAGGCGGACTGCATACTCAGCATGCAGGAGCAATCCCAGCTGCAGCCCTATGTGGGACACTCCTCCCACTCGCTGGGAGTCAGTGCCTCCAACTCGGAACTCTGCCTGGAAGGTATTGGTATTGGCATCGGCATGTCTGCCTTTGGCATGGAGGAAGGCGAGCCCAAGACGCCGCCTTCGCTTTTGGTGCTGGATAAAACGTTGCCCTCGTTGAGTATTGGCGTGGAGGGTATCGCTGATCTGGTTGAGCAACTGCATCATCATCATCATCATAGCCATCACCAGGAGGGCGGAGGCATCACCAGCGATGTTTTGTGAGTCACACTTAGGCGAATTACTTGAATAGTTAATCTTTGACTTAAATATCTCTAGTTCTAATGGATGTGTAGCTGCTCTAGGTCCTAGGGAAGCCTTGTTTTAGCTGTATTCTTGTTTTCTAGTCAATGTCGATAAGTCTAGGCTTAAGTTCCAGACCAAAAAGGATCAACACAACACAGAAACCATGGAAAAACATGGGAAGAAGAATTATAATAACAAAATCTGCACATTATATGGCAGCCAAACCGTGCGATGAGGCTTACTTAAAAAATAAACACATATTTCCGTTAAATATGATTTTGATTTAAAGTTTTTATTTTAAATTTTCCAAAAAGAAAGTTTAAAGATCAAATATACAAATTTTTGGGAAGAAAATATGTGCTCTGATACTCACAATTTCTTTTAGTTTTAATTCAAATTTTAAAATTTTTTTTATTTTTTCTTAAGAGTGAGGTAGTTGTCAGGCTCCACGCTCATAATTCGTTGCCCATCCATGTTTTAAATAAATTTAAATTTTATATATAAATCAAACAAGTGTAATCATTTAAACAAATTGTGAAATTTCAACCTTGTAAGTCTAGTTTAGTTTAAGGCCAAATATAAATTAAATATTAAAAATTTATAAAAATTTGAAAAGATATCTAGATTTCGGGTTTTTTTAAAAGAAAGATTTCAATACTTTTGGGAAAAGATTTCTTCAGGATTCTCAAACAAAATATTACTAAACAAGAAAACGCATGATAATATAAGAAATAAGATGCGTAACGCCATAAAATGTATATTTCTGCAGGGTGAACTCTCCTCCAAGGACTAGGGAGGTCATTTCAAAGCATATAGTAGGGTAAGGTGGGGTAAAGCCGACCTAGTAAATGGTTTTGGCTATAAAATGCTTATTTTACATCGGATAAAGTCGTTATATATACCAAATTAAAGGTTAGACTTTTGGGCAACGTTCTATGCATAGCATTTTATTCATACCTTTGAAAAGTTTTGAGATACAAGCGTTTTACGAAAAAGTTCATTTTTGCTAAGTTCAAAAATGATGGGGTAAACCCGACCGCCTATGTTTTTGGTTGATTTAGTACAGATATAACCTAAATATAGGTTTTGCAATGATAAATCAATCAATGTTATGTTAAATAATGGTAATAAAAGATAAAAGAATTAAAAAAATTTAAATAGCAAAATAATTAATCAGTATCATCTGATTCGCTGCTCAAATAGCTTGCTGGCGTTTTTTGGTTCGAGTTGAACGTCTGGTTGGCTGCGATGTTGATGGTTTTGGTGTGATTGTTGTTTTTTTTGGATTTTTTGCGGCAGGATTTACCCCACTATTTAGAGGTCGGATTTGCCCCACCACGTAATTTTTCATAAAAACGCAATTAAAAAAGAAATTATGAAAAAAAATGAACCAAACTTATATGCACTTTGTAGGACTTTATTCAAAGAATCTAAATCCACTTACCTTTTCATGCGATAACTTTGACAAAAAGAAATATCCTGCAGTCAATTATGCACAAAAATGAAATTCAAAATTGTGAAAACAAACTTGTTGTCGTTTGACCATCTCAATGTTGACTAATAAAATGCTGTCATTTACATTGTTTTCGATGCTCTACACGACAACACTAATATTATTTTGCGTAGTGCTTCCGATTTTCGAAAACAGAGGGAGGTCGGGTTTACCCACACTGTCGGCTTTACCCCACCTTACCCTATTTATACAATATTAGGAATAATATAGTTAAAGCTTTATTTATGATTATTTTTAGTGTAACTTTCCCCTGACATATAAATCGTGGCGTGACGGAGTCCTTGACTACCATCAGGTTTTGGTATTTAACTTTTATGGATTCCGCATATGTGTGTGTGGTATACGTAACAATGGAATCCCTACTCCAATACTCCTGCCCTTGTTTGTGGCTCGGATTAGAGGCAAACTAATTGTGCGATTTGAATGGATTTCGGGTTTTCACTTCTGTTTGTTCGGCAATAACATTTGCTTTTGCTTTTTAACAATTGCCGAACAGAGTGCTCCTCCTGCCTGCTCCCCCTCATTCCCTGCTGGCGGTAATTTCCATTTACCGTTATTAAGGACGACTGCTGCAGGACCTAAGCAGTCTTAGGAAGGACCAACCAGGACTCCTCCACTTCCATTTAAAAGCTGTCCCGGCTTAGGCAAAAAGCTCACAGCGGATGAGGATTTGAAAATAAAGAGGAAAATGGTCGAGATTGTTTTATTTGCATTTATAATAATAAATTATAAAAAATATATAAAAAATTAAATATAAATAATATAAAATATATATATAAATATATTATTAAAATTAATAAATAAAAATTAATGAATTTTATGAAGAATTTAAATTAATTTTAATTTTATAAGCTAATGTTTCTTATTAAATTTCTCATAAAATTGATATTTCCAGTCCCATTTCCCTGATCTGACGACGTGTCCCCTGGTTTGATTAAGACTCCTTCAGACAGGCCAGCGCCCAGGTTCCAGGACTTAAGTCCAAAGCCTTGAAGGGCAGAGGGAGTTTCCGCTGCTGGCGGAGAATGCAGAGCTCACGGCTCAGCTGGCTTAACACCTTGGCAAGCTCCTTGTGGATTTGTTGGGGCCAAGGGAAACGGCCACCTAATGACACCCTCTGCTCCCTGTCCCCCAGCTCACCCGTCCTGTCAGCCATTTTGCCGCTGACAATGACGAGCACAATAAGCTAATTGAGGCTGAGGTGGATGTCGCAGCGGGTGGACAGGGCACAGCATCTCCCGGATACAGATTCAGATACACACACACGAAGCCGAAAAAAGTTCATTATCCCCGGGTCAACCAGGGGTTGACACCGTGTCCCCTGGCTGCGGGTATGCCGGCAAGCGAATGGTTGCCATTGGATAATCTTCTCTTATGAGGCCGCCCAACGATGCGCGAAATTCGGTTGGCTTTTTTTCACCAGTGCAACCCAGATACCCGGAGAAGAAGGGGATTCATTCATTAGTCCATAATATATGTATAATGAAAGGATGACATTATTAACTTAATAGGCAACGGAGATTAAAAAGGAAGCGCATTTTTTGTATATAAAAAATTAATAAATGAATAGGGAAATCATTGTGGTTTTGAAATAAATTAAAACTGTGTCTAAAAAAAACTCAACAAAATTTTAAAATGATCATTTAATTCTTGTAATATTTCTTTGTTTACTTTTCAGAAGGTTTTTTATATATTATATATTATTATATTATATATTATATATTATATATTATATATTATATATTATATATTATATATTATATATTATATATTATATATTATATATTATATATTATATATTATATATTATATATTATATATTATATATTATATATTATATATTATATATTATATATTATATATTATATATTATATATTATATATTATATATTATATATTATATATTATATATTATATATTATATATTATATATTATATATTATATATTATATATTATATATTATATATTATATATTATATATTATATATTATATATTATATATTATATATTATATATTATATATTATATATTATATATTATATATTATATATTATATATTATATATTATATATTATATATATATTATTTATATTATATTTTTAATCTACAACGTTTTAATGAACATTTTGGTTATTATTTAAAAATTATGTTTAAAAGTATACAACAAATGTAATATTTAAACAAAGTAAAACCACAAAAAATATATATTTTTAAAAATCTCATAAAGAAATTGAACTAAGTGTTGATCTGAATCTCATTTTGTGACAATTTTTTCCAATAATTCTTAGTTTAAATATATCTTTATCTAATCCAAAAAGCTCTAAAAATTATAAATAAATTTAAATAATACCCAAAAATATGTAAAAATTTTTTAATATTTTTAAATATTTTTGGGAATATTTAATATTTTTAAATATTTTTGGGAATATTTGGGAATTTAAATTTGTTTCTAATTTTTAGAGATTTTTGCACTAAAACATAAAACCAAAAATATTTCTTGTACACTTTTTGACACAATTTTAATTGATTTCCTAAATCCACAAAAATTTCCTTAGGCTTTAGTTTCCTTTTTATATTGAAACCCATCAAAATCTCTGAAGATTTCTTAATCGCTTGATAGAACACGAATTTTTTGTATAAAAAAGATTTAAACTACATGCATTTTCCATTTAAATCTTATATTTTGCCACATTTTCTTTGAACTTGCTAATGGTTTTTGTGACTTAACCAGAATGAATTTCTTCTCCAATTTCTGCAAGCTCCTTCTCCTGCTCCTTGCTGTTCCGCATCTTATTCCTGGCACATTTAAAATTAATCGAAAATCTTTTCTTTGGTATTATTTCGAGCACTCTCGACTCCGGGGCTGTGTGCACAAGGACCACAAACTTTAATCGATAGTCAAATAAGCGTCGGGTCTTTCCAGGAGCAGAGGCAGGGCGAGGACAAGGCAAGGAACACATCAGGACATCGTCTGCCATGTGTGTGTGTGTTGGGAGAGAGAAAGAGAGGGGCTTTCTGCTCCTTGCTCGGCTTTTGTGTGCTGTAATTTCTCTAACGTTTGTTTATATTTTATATCGAATGCGCCCCGGGCCGCATAAACGCAATAATCGCACATTTTATGGATTAAACTCACCTGCTTCACCTGCTAATCTACAGGGCAGAGCAGGACTCGTGCCCTCAAGCGGATCGACCAGTGATTCAGATTCTCTGAAGGTCTTTGATCTTTGGTTAATGCAATGAGAAACACATCCTGCTGAGGAATTATAAGAGAAAAGGGAGAGGGTACTGGGATGTTGTTACTTTTGGTTATTAGAAAATCTAAATAAATATATTTAGGAGATCTTAAGAGATTAACAAACTTTAAGGTAAACTAAATAGATATTTATACCCTTGCAGGGTATTATAATTTCAGTCAGAAGTTTGCAACGCAGTGAAGGAGACGTTTCCGACCCTATAAAGTATATATATTCTTGATCAGCATCAACAGCCGAGTCGATCTAGCCATGTCCGTCTGTCCGTCTGTCTGTCTGTCCGTCTGTCCGTCTGTCTGTCTGTCCGTCTGTCCGTCTGTCTGTCTGTCTGTTTCTACGCAAACTAGTCCCTCAGTTTTAAAGCTATCTGAATGAAACTTTGCATATAGTCTTCTATATGCTCTCACTGCTATATATGTCGGAACGGGCCGGATCGGACGACTATATCATATAGCTGCCATACAAATGTTCGATATATTTTTCGAAAAAAAATTATAACTTTGCTGTTTTTCAACATTTTTGCACCATTTTCAAGATATGGCCATTTTATATTATTTCTGAATTTTGGTAAAAATTTTATGAAAATCGGACGACTATATGATATAGCTGCCATAGGACCGATCAGGAAATTAATAGGAAAAAAATTATAGCTTCGTTGTTTTTCAACGTATTTTTATCTACTCTGAGATATAAGCTTTTTTTTATTATTCTAGAATTTTGGTATAAATTTCATAAAAATCGGGCAACTATATCATATAGCTGCCATAGAAGCGATCGGTAAATGCATAAAATATGTAAAGCTGGGAATGTAAAACGGTAACTGTCAAACTGTAATCATAATAAGTATAGGTAAAATGGAATGAAACTCTATAATATAAACATCAAAACCAATCTGCAAGGGTATACAAACTTCGGCGTGCCGAAGTTAGCTTCCTTTCTTGTTTGTTATTATTTTAGTAAATTAAACTAAACTCTTGTCTTAAAAACAACTAACTAAGCTCTTCTATATTCAATTCCCTTAAATATTTCCTCTTACCCTTGGACTCAATTGTATTAAATAAAATTTAAATAACAAAAACTACTTATTTGCATATAATTAATTAACAACATAATAAATAAATTTAATTAAAAAGCTACAACAAAGAGCTCATTACCTATTCAACATTATATTACAATTAAAAATACAAATAAAATATGCAAAGCCCAAGGGGATTTAATTATCTTAAAAGAATATTAAGGCCGGGTGCACCTAAGCCAGCCTCGATTCCAACCAGTATCACCTTTAATCCTTCCCCAAAGCCAGGTTGTGCTCCAATGTTCCATGATAATTCCTCGCCAGCTCCGGACGACACTCATGAATCTCTCATCTCCGTGTCGGTTGGTGCTCTCCAAATGGGTTATTCATTATGCATATGCATTCCCCCTACCCCTGGCCCCCAGATCCTGGCCAGGACATATTAAATAATGAAATATTAAAATCGAATGCGACTGAAATGACTTTTGGCCCGGCTCTCCGCCCGGCGAGGTGTTCATGTGAATAAATTGCAATTAACAATATTTTTATTTCAACAAACGAAATGTCGAACCCTTTCTCCCTCCTGCCTACCCTTGGGCTCCTATAAATAAGAGAGAAAAAAAATGGGGGAGCGGCATTTAATTAAAGGCAAATTTAATGGGTAAATATTTCATATGCCACACACACAGACACACTCATATACACACACAAAGAGCTCGAAAAATGGTCGAAAAAATTGTATATAAAAAATAGGAACATATATATTTATATATGGATACAGTAAAGGTCATAGAAATAGGTTTTTTCATTTATAAATTTTGTTAAAAATTAACAAATCTTAAAATATATATTTTTTTTTAAATAATTATAATTAATAATTAGATTTTACTTTTTATTTATTTTCTATATAATATTTAAAGCGGTATCAAACTATTCTTCCCTACAAAGAAACCTGAGAAATTGTTAAAAATTTATATATTTTTTTTAAATTTTATATTAATTGTATTTAAAATATTTAATTAGACTTCCCTTACAGTTTCGAAACGCACATTTTCCTAACGCTTAAAAAAAGCCCTGACTATATGTGTGTCCTGTGAGTAAATATCAGCGAGCGGGGAGGGAAAGTGTATATTAAATTTCGTGTTGATACAGAGAACAGGAACGGAAAAAATTATGCGAAGCGTGTACTAGAAAAACAAAAGAAACACGAGAACGGTTTGGAAACAAAAAGAAATCAGAAAAATTAATAGAGTGCAAATATTTGTAGATTTTTACACGAACTATTAACAACGCAGGGCAGCAAACAGAGCCCGCTGGAAATAAGGATCCAGATTCGGATACGGATTGCGGGTAACTCGAGATCGTATCATCATCATATAGGGCCTGAGCCACATAGGCCTATGCAAATAGAAGGTCCAGGGCCCGGAATGACAAGGCACAAAGCCAATGGCGACCGTGACAGGGCAAAGGAAGCGGAGGAGCAGCCACAAGGAACTCGGCTCTGGCTCTCTCTCTCAGGTCAAGACAGAATAAATTTGAATTTGAATTTGAATTTTTGGTCTTCTCTCACCTGACTGGGCCCTCAACTCTGTTTCCCTGCTGTTCTGGCTCTGCCAAAGGAAAATAACAAGATGGAAACTTTAGCAAAGAGAAAAACACAAAACAAAAAATCTAGGAGGGAGAAAAAACAAGCTGAAAAGGACACAATACACAGCAAAGCGAGACAAATTTGTCAGTTGCATCTTGGATGTCCCCAATGGAGAGTGGCGAGGTGAAATTCTAGGACTAAGCACAGAGAAAAAATGTTAAGAAAAGTATTTAACCAGAGCTTAGCCTTTACTTATCTTAATTTTTCTGTTAATATTTGCTTAAAACCAAAAAATTTAGTGAAATAATATAATTTCTAGGTGGCTATGATTTTTTTTAAATATATATTTACTTAGAAACCAATTTAGTTCAAGTTTTAAATAAAGGTTAAAGCTAGGGTTAAAGTCATGATTACCAGATAGAAAATTAAAATTTTGAATTTTTTAATAGATTTAAATTATAATTTCTAGATGGTTCTGAATCTTTTCAAGCTTGTTTATACTTTTCAGATATTTCCCAGAATTTATTAAGATATATTTATCAAACTGACTTCAACGACTTCCCATGGGGATGATTTCCACAGACTTTGCCATCTTGTTTTCGCAATGCCAGATAGAAAATGGCCAACAAAATGCCAGAGCAGAGACCTGGCAGATACATCTGTCCCACACAGAGAGATACAGATACAGATACAGATACCGAGACATATACAGATACATATACATTTTCCTCCCCCAATTCACAGACCCCCTCCTCAGACCCATTCCCATCAATTTCAGATCCTTTGTGAGTCTGTCCGTGTGTTTGCAAATTGATTGGAGGCGAAGCCATCAAAGTGTCCATTGGAGCTGCTAACAGGCTGACCACCAACGGCTCTGTCTCTTACTCCCTCTGTCTCTGAGTTATCTCGAGCTCTTGTTACCGGTTACCGGGCAGGTGTGAAAGCTCCTTGCTGGGTCTTCCCACTTATCATTGAAAGTTTTTCCGCGTTAAATAAAAATTTCTTTTCACTTTTTTTTAATTTTTCTTGGACACTCTGGACGAGTTTTTGTGTTTTTTTATTCGTTTTGTTTTCCAATAAGTTACTTTGTTTTTGTTTTAACATTACAATTAATCGTTGGAGGAATTATTACACTTAATTTTTGCTATGGTATGTTTTTTTTAGACTTAGTTTTTTATGAATTACGAATTATAATTAATTATTTAGATGCAATATTAACTTTGGACTTGGACACAGGACACGAAACAATTAGGACTCGCACACACTTACATTACATTACATACATACATACACTTTTACATACAATTAGTGACTGTACAGATTTTACTAAATATATTTAGGTTTTATTCAGTTACTTTTTGGGTTTTTTTTCTCAACTTAAAACTTAGTAACAAAAAAGAGGCGACTCCTTGCTATTTACAAAACAAAACTTAAGGAACTAAGGGCCAGTGAATTATTTATATATTTCAGTTTACAAATTTTAAAGTTATAATTCAGTCACATAAATAATTTTAGCACATTTTTAAATAAATATAAATAATTTGTATCAAAGGTCTTTCTAAATTTAGACTTTAAATAAATCTAGAAAGGTTGAAACTTCATCAAACTTGGCCCTTAACTTATGACTATCCTTTCTCTATATATACAGTTGCCACGCCCTTTTCTTTAGGCCACTTCCAGATCGGAGGACTCGTCGGCATCGCTATAACCATTCGGATCGCTCTTGATGTGCACTAATTGTGTGGCATAGTGTTCAGAGCCCGGGCACTTGATGGCTACGTTTCCGTTTCCGGTGGAGCTGGGTGTGCCTGTGCCCCCGCCGCCATTATTGCTGTTGCTTGTTGTGCCGTTGGTGGTGCTACCGCATTGCTCCTCCTGCAATTTCCGGAGGCGCTCCTGCTCTTCGCGTTTTTGTTTGCGCCACTTGGCCCGACGGTTCTTGAACCACACCTGGAAAAATTAACAAGGGAAATATTTGGTTTTAATAAAGGGTAAAAACGAAATATAGATTAGAATTTTAAATTTTATTAAATAGATTTATAGTTATTTAATAGATAATAAGTTTTATTAATAAGCTTCTAAACATAGATTTTAAACTTAAGTCTTTGCCTGCAATGTACACACATTAACGAACTAGGAGCAGCTGTACTAGTTCTCAAAATTTAAACTCAAGTTTCCATCTTACTATACTCTAAGCTGTTTTATTATTTAAATGTTATCACTTTTCTTTAATTTTTTCCCCTCTAAGGTTTCTATATAGAATCTACTCCCTACTTCTACCTCCTCTTCTGTTACCTTGGTTACCTTTGAGCCAAGTGGCGGGGCTTCAAAAACACTTTCATCCGTTTTTCTCTGGAAATTTTCTCTTCTTCTTTTCGGGATTTCTATGCATAAATATTTTAAGTAATTTTTTGTACCATTCCCTCTTATTTTTCTCCCTCTTTAGCTATGCTTAGCCTTTCGTTGGCTTCTTTTGGCTCAATCTTGGCGTTTATCTTTTGGGGGGCCAGTTGCCAGGGACAATTCTTCTCCTGGCCCTTCGCCACTCTGCTGCTTTTTTTTCAGGATTTAATGAGATGACTTATTGTAATTGTAATTAATTGTGAAGGCAGCAGGAGGAGGGAAAGAAATGGTACAAAATAAGGGAGAGCTGAATAAAACTTTTGAAAACTTAGGGTAGAAATGGGGTATGTTGAGTAGAAATAAAACTCGGAAGGTTAAAAAAAACATAAATAGTCAAAAAATAAATTAACAAATTATAACATATATTTTGAAAAATCTAATATATATTTTTTTTAATTTTTCTTTTTTGTTTTTAATGTTTCTTGACTTGTTTCCCTTATATTTTTCTTTTTTTTGTGCTTTAATTAGACCTCTGGCCACGCCTACCAACCCTTGTCTCGTTCTTCTCCTTCCTTAACCCCCCCAGTACCCTTGAAACTCACTCGCTTAACCCTTTCCCATCTACTTAGTTAATTAAAACAAAAGACGACTGTGAAGTGAAGTGACTTAGGGGTTAAACAGCAACACATTTCAGGGGGGTTAAGCAGCCAGAGGATGGCATTTCCCGTTATGTAATCACCCTTGTGACCCATCATCATCATCTATATCTCATTAGCCCCCCTCACAGAGAAGCTACCCCCAGAGAACCCACTCCCCTGCCGAGGGCGGAGTCTCTTCTTCTCCCCCAAACTCGCTGGCTGTCTCTGTGTCTCTGTTGCTCCCCTGCGATTTCTCCATTTCTCTCTCTTATTTAGCCCAATCCCAGTTGCAACCCTTATTTGTGTATTTCCCTTGGTCTGTTTGTTGATTATTTGTTGAATAAATACTCGAGGAAAATGCTGTGCAGGCTAGGAAAAAGTTTAATTAGAACAATTAGCAGAGGGAAAAGTTGATTTTCCGCAAAAATGAAATGTTATTATCATTTCGAAAAGGGAAAAGTTGAGGTTTCTGTGTTGTTTATGCAGCAAATCGACTGAATTTGTTAAAATAATACAGAAGGAGGGAAAGGAAAAGCAGGGATAAGCACGAAAGGCAAGCGGAAACGGAAATGACAGCAGAAAATGCGCTAAACTTATAAGCAAAGGCAGCACTCTCTCTCCCGGAAGCTCATTTAATTTCGCATAAAATTTGTGTAAATTTCAGCAGCTGCTTTTCATATATATTTTCTCGACTTATTTGCTTAGGATTTTCCCTTCTCTTTTCCCCTACTTTCCCGTTGTGATTTCTGCTGGAAAATGGCGGCACCTTGGCAACCTTTGAAGGCGTCATTCGTCAACGTCATCGCTGCTTTTTTTGATGTCAGTTCATATATTTCTCATTTTCCACTTGATTTAATTAGATTTTTAGACAGCTTTCAGCATTAGGTGTGTTTTGTTTGTATTTTAGTTATTTATTTTCATAATTTTCATAATTTTCATGAGCTTAAGTTATTAAAACAACATAACGCGCGGCGGCCGTTTTTCAAAAATTACGCGTTGTTGGACAGGCAATGAATTTTGTGATTTAGTCAGCTTAATTATGTCAACAAAACACATACAAAAACACACACATTTTTACTCCCACGTAATTGCCAAAATGCAACAGTTTTATAATCCAATAAATTCTAACACGAAAAAAATAAATGGGGTTTTTTTCGGGGCTTTTTTCCGACGCTTATTAAAGTTGCATATTTTAATTAAATGCTTGGCCAGGCAGGCTAAACCGCATTGAACCCTAATCCAGGCGGAACTATAAGGCTGGAGGATGTGTGTGGATGAGTGGGTGGTAGGAGGGTTAGAGTGGCGGATGTGTGTGTGCCGGAAAAAAGCGAACGCGCTCCGCTAATCCCGTAATTTGTACAGCCAACAGTCGAAGTGGAATGTGTGCCAGCTTAAAACCCTCCTAAAACCCCCCTTAAAACCCCCGTTTAAACTCCCTATAAACCCCCCTTAAACTGGTCTAGTACCCCTCTCCTATATCCCCGCTTAAAATCTGACTAACGCACAACAATTTTTGGCCATAACGCTGCGGGGGCCTTTTTTGCTCGCAGTGAAAATTTTCGACAAATTAAATAAACAAAGGCGCAAAAAACTGATGGAACAGAGAGGAAAGAAAGGTGTATAGGCGTGCATGTGTGTTGTGTTGTACGATTTTCCATGTTGATTGATGGCTTCTGCCTGGCAAAATTGGTAACAATATGGCAGAAATACTGTTCAAAAAACAATGATATTAAAATAATATTTCAAAAATCTAAAAAAAAAATATGTGTAAGGGAAATTTTCAAAATAAAATATATTGACAAAGCTAGGAATTTATTTGTATTTTTTAATTTTTAAATAAATCTACAGGTTTTACTCTGGGCATATGAAAATGTTGATAGTAAAAGTGTTTTATAATTAATTATAATATTTGAACCTAATAAAATTCCTTTTTAATTATTAACTAAGTAAGAAATTCCTATTATTTCCCCTATTTTTTCGTTCAGTGTTCATGGGCAGGTGAATTTCTCATCCTCTGTTTTTTTGGAAAAGAACTTGACATGCATGGGCTCTCGACTTGGAGTCGCCAGAGAGATCTCTCCCGACCTTTTGCAAATATTGCCACAGATTTTTCATCCAAAAGCGCATAAATCGCTGATACCGCAGGAAAATCGCGGGGGCGGTGGGGTCTCCCGAGGGGGAAGCGTCTGAAAAGCGGCACACACACATATTGGGAAACGTGCATGAAATCCATTGAACAAACAGACCCACGGCAGTTGATTTTTAATTAACTACAAAAGCGCTTTACGCTCCGCCCCCTTTGCTACGCGCTTAACCCGTTTTTCCCCCTGGGAAAAATCTCTTCTGGCATTCTGGCAGACTGACCCTGGGTATGTGTTATTTTTGGGGTTTTTTGGTCAGTCTATGCGTGTGGTTTGGATTACCAGAAGAGGACCAAAAAGGCTGAAAATGCCGGAAAATGCATCGATGTGGCATGAAAATGTTGCCGAAATATGTAGAGAGCTACACTGCTATCATAACTTTGCGCTTCGTTAATCGCTGCACCTGCTCAATGCCCCTCTTTGCTGATTTTACCCCTTTCCTAATTTTCTTTGTTGTTCCAGTTCGCCAAAAATTGTCCCCGACGAAAGCCAAAAACATTGGCAGCCAGCAAAAACAAAAACGAAAAATTACATTTTTGGCTGGCTTCGAAAGGGTTAAAAGGGGAGCCCCCCTTGTAGATTTAACAGGTGGGGAGCTCGGTGGGCGTTGTGGGGTTAAACACAAAATGGCGGCCGCCTTTTTCGTCAGGCGCTTCTAATTAGTGAAAATTGGCAACACAATTCGTTTGGAAACTTCGTCACCAAAATGGGTGGCACCCTCGTCACTCCCCATCCCTCCCTTTTCCAACCTTTTGTGGCAAATTGTTGACGCTGTTTTCCGTCGTGTTGTTGGATTAAAATCGCGCAGCCATGAAAATTGCTCGTTACGCACATTCCCTTTCTTCTGCCTTTTTTTTTTTGCAAGCACACAAGGGTTAAAGTGCTGGTAGACTAATTACGTAGCAGTGAGCTTTTGCAGGACTCCAGAAGGTTCTTAAATTTATCGGCCTATCGGAGAAGTTGACAATTGCTGCTGCTGCTAAAAAAATCATTTTGTATCCGAAAAAACGTGTGTTAATACTCAAAAAGGGGTAAACCTTAAAACAAATTATATATTATGTCGAAACCATGAAATGCGCATGGAAAATTAGAATTTATAAACATAAAAAAGTAGCCCGTGCCTCTTAACTCAACTGTACTTGTGACAGCGCAAAACGCAATGGGAAACGAGTCATAAACTGCAAAAGCCGAAGTGATCGGGTGTTTCATTAATAGCATAATACGTAACTAGTTGGTTAAAATTGCAGACATTAGCAAACATTTTTGCATTAGCCATAAAAAGTGCAATAAAACAATTGAGACTCCTGCGGACAGTGCAAAGATGGCAGCCGCCATAATACAACATGCGTACAAGTGTATGTGTGTTCCAATTCGCCGCAGCCAGGCGAATATCGAAAGTACCGTATGCAACCGTGCAACGGCGAAGTGTGTCTTTACCTATTTCCTGTTGCCAACGTAAGAAAGAAATCTATTATTTAAAAAAAATTTTTTTTTACCCAAACAAGAAGGAGAAAGTTAATCACAATAGGAAGAAGAATAATACGAAAAGATTGACAATAAGAAGAAAACTAAATTAAAAATATCGGTAAGCGACAAATTTACTTTACTTTTTATTTAATGTATTCCAATTTCATTTAATCATTATTCTTCCTAGGAAATTATAAAAACTGTAATGTATTTTTGTAACTTAAGCTTTAATTTTAATTTTCTTTTGTATAGGTGTTGGTTTACGAAAGTTCCCGAATTCTTTTGGATTTGTTCATGCGCAGGATAGAATAAATAAGAAACAAAAAGAACTGAAAACTTAAGGAAAAGAAAATATATAATATGCTAAATTAAAGCTTAGTTAAGTCGAAAAATGAAATAAAGAAAAATTATGAAATTAAATAAAGAATGACAAAATTAAAAAAAAAAATAAAATAAATTAAGAAACTCTTATACTCTCTTAGACTCTACCGCGACTCTTCCACGAGTCTTCCAAAAGACTCCTCTGGGACTCCTTTAGAAGAGCCCCCCGCGACTCACTTAGAAGTGTCGCATTCGTAGGTACACTTTCTCCCAACAGAAGATTGGAAAGCGATCAGAATGCGATGTCGCAGGCGATCAAATTAATCTTCTAGAAGAGTCGCAGGAGACTCTTCCGCGATTGAAATGGTTGGCTGGGGAGTTATCGATGTGTGGGAAAAAGAAAATGAAGAAGGAAATTATATTGCTTCAATTTATGTTAAAATAAATGTATATTCTTGGAATATAATAAAAATAATGAAAAAACACTATTATGGCTTTCTTTGTTATTCCGATGCATCACGATATATCAATGTTTTGAAATATCAATATCGAAAGTATCGATGTATTACAGCTCTACTATATATATTTAGTTATTAAGGTTCGCCAACTAGGGCCAAACCTTATCCTACTTCTTTACTTATTTATCTACCAGATGTTTTCTGCTCGGCTGCTCCGACTGCAGTGACTGGCACTGGCCGGTGTGTCGCTTTATATAGCCGGCCGACATCTGTTTTCCGTCGATCGATAATCGATCATTTTCCGATGGTCGATAGCCGGGGCGTCGCCAGATCGTCCGTATCTATTCGATTACTAACAGCTGTTGAGGGAACAGTGAGAAATTGACTTTACTTTTTATTTAATGTATTCCAATTTCTTTTAATCATAATTCTTCCTTGCAAATAATAAAAACTGTAAAGTATTTTTGTAACTCTTTTGCCAGACTTTTTAACAGCGCCATTTATGAATTCAAACAACGTCTGCCCCTCTCCACTTTTGCAGTAGCTTTTATCATAATTAAAAAAGGAAGAAATATTCTACAATCTCCCGCAATTAAATACCCGTTAAAATATTTTCTTGACATTTTACAGGAATTTCACAGTTAATCCTCGTAATACGAGCATTTTTTTCCAGCAATTTTTATGATTTTTTCACCCTAAAAGCAGAGCTTTTTTATTATCTTTTCTATTACTTTTTTTTCTTCTTGCTAATCGCCGACACGGGGCGACCTTTTAACAGCTTAGTGACCTTAGTGCACCTGTCCAACCACGCCCCTTCATCGGTTGAATCCTCTAGCTAACCACCTTCGCACTTTTCTTGGGGGTTCTTTGTGTAAATTTATGCAGCTTCGAGGGCAATTTTCTCCCTCAGCGATAATATTTGTCTACGGTTACACGCTTCGACAGCCAAAACTGTAAAGCAAACATGGGAAAAGCGTCGTTCCCCTTGGAAAAATCCCAGCCCCGAGGCGGTAAACGCACTTTACTGCCCGCAATTCCCGCGAGAATCTAGAGCCGAGCTTCCTCAAAACTCAAGTGTTTGAATAATGGAAAATTATTAAAAATTATGACGGCGAGAGAGTGTTTTCACCCACCCACTGGGGGGTGGTGGTTGCTCTGTGCTCCGTGACCTCGGGTAAAATTAACGAAAATCTGCTGATTCCAGCTCATTGCCGTTTTTAATTCAATTTCGAGGCTAAACAAACATATTGCCAACGGGCGGGAGGGAAAGGGGACATGTTTATTGTGTCTAAGGGGGAGACAATAATAATAATAATAATAATTCGGAGGCAAAATATACTTTAGTTAATTGCCGACGCAGGTGGCCTGCTCGAAACAGAAAGAAACCCCTTGACGAAGTCTCTTTCTCTCCCGATTGTGCAACTTCAAAGCGGCATGATCCTGGAGATGGGTAATACGAGGGTGACACAGGCCCTTTCTCAAGTCCTAGCCAAGACAAAAAGACAAAGCAAAAGTGGTAGAAAACAGAAGACGATCGCCTCACAATGAAGGAGTGAGGAGTGTGAGGGGCAATGAGTGGGCACATTCTTCGCCGCACATATACATATATTCGAGAATGGGTAACATCAATATTTGTGGAGTTTTGAGCGAGAGAGAGGAGCACAAATTATGCCAAGCTGATGATTACTAATTTCTTGGCGACGCTACTGCAACCCAAGACAAATATTTGAATTGCCCTCCAGCAGACCGCTCCTCTGCCTATATCTTCCACATACCCGTCCCTCTATCTGGGCTGATCGGGAAACGAAGTCACCTCGATCACTTGAGCTGCGGGATTAGGCGTATTTGACTTGCACGCACCAAAGAAGGCAAAGCGAAAAATATAAGAGACGCCCAAGAAGAGAATGGCTCTGTTTGCTCTCTACACACACACACACACAGGTAACGAACCTCTGTGTGAGCTACTGTTTTACCCGATCTTCTTCGCCTCGATCCAATCCCAAACCCAATCTCAAACCCAATCCCATCCATCGAGTGTCTAAATAAGAATAATAATTGTAAATGATGAAGTCAAAATAAGCAGATCATTTAAATGCTGACTGCTGTTTGGATGGGAACTGAATAATTACGACAAGTTTAGGGGGGAGGGTTTAAGTTTCGAAATCGGAAATCTGTGAGAACCGAGCTTTATGTGGCGTTAAAGCATTGGTATACGAAGGTCTTAGGTAAATGGGTGCTTAATTAATGAAATACTTGGAGAACATGTAAAAACTAAGTTTTCTCTTACGAATGGGAAGATTTTGGTATAATATTTATTCCATAATATCGGATGTTTATAGTTCAAATTAGTTATATATTTTTTAAATTTCTACCAGAAACTATCCGATAAAATTGTTTTCCTTAAAAATCCTATTCCAAAAACTCCCTAATTAGATCACAAAACTGATGTACTCCTTCCCCACAAGAGTAACCCCTGTGTAGGCATCGAATTTGTTCATTTTTTACATTCGACAGTTTTCTCTTTTGTTATTGCTGCTGTTTGTCTTAGGCAAGATTTTCAATAATTATTGCCACTTATGGTACCGCGACTCTGGGGTCTTAGAGGGACAGAGAGACGATACCAAGACTCTGGGCATCGAAATCGCGGAAGAAGGGGCGCTCTCGAGTGGCCAGGCTCTTGGCATGCAAATATGCTAAACAGTAGCAGTCACAAAAGCTGGGGCTGCTGCTGTAGCTGCTGCTGAAGTTGATTATGCTGCTTAAGTCAATGACGAGCGATGACTGAGCACAAGATTTGCTATGGGGGGCTATGGGGATTTTCAGCCATCAGCCATCGTCCACTTTGCTTGTCAGAGACAAGTTTGAAGTCTCTTTTTGTGTGTGTGTTGTATGTTAATTAGTCACAGTCGCCCCAATGAGGCAGCAGATTTGTTGTCAGTCTCCCCCGATTTCCAATTAGTTGAAGAGTTGGGAAATCATTTCCCCCCCACTCTCTATCTTTCTGTAAGAACTCTATCACAAACCTGCATTCTAATCCGCTTAGGATTCCGAATATGATGACCCGTGGGCCGGAAACTTGTCGCCTAATCAAAGAGCTGGCGTCAATTCGCCTGCGGGTTAAGTAACGCCGCTCATTACCCAAATGGGTTGGCAATGCAGGAGAGGAGGTTGTCTTAAGCTGAAGGCTAAACATGTACCCACACCCAGGTGTCAACAAATGTCGCACTTGTCCGCTTTCCTTTACCACGGAAAGGTGAGGGTGAAAGGAAGAAGGGTTTCATTTGGGGTGACGGCAATGTCTAGATTAAACATTTGACCGGTTGACAAACATATTGCCACGGTAACTAGCTCTCGGGACCCGGAAAGCGTTGCTAATCCTTATCAAAGACGACGCCCTCTGATTTCTATGCATTACAAAAATTGTGAACAAATTAAATTGTCAACTTTTATCGCCACTTATCGTCCTGCTTTCCCCCTTGGTGACCTCTCAATTTGTTTGTTTGCCTCCCTGCTTGTTTGTTGTTGGGTTTCCTCGACACTAATGGACTTTGAATCACAAATGTCGAAGTTGTAGTAGTCGCAGCAGTATATCCCCAGATCCAAAGGGATGTTTAGACCCCCGGGGTGGGATTTACAAGGCAGTAAGAGGAGGGGAAGGAGCTGGATGGGAATCCCTGCATATTTACATTGGCAATGATACGATTCCAGAGACATACAACCACCAAAGAAGCACCCAGAAACAAGCAAATAACCATCGCCATCCGTTTAAACATGCGGTCCCATTACCCAAATTAAGTGAATCATTCGGATTGGCATTGTTTTGCTTTCGCCAGAAGGAGAAGCGAAGCCCCGCAAACCGCCGACAACTAAATAAACAGCGAGAAGTTCTCAAGGGGCGGGGTGTGCAGGGAATTCTCTGTGAAGAGGAGAGCAGAGCACAGAGATTGCGATGCAGATGCCAGAGATTCGAATTCAGAATCTGATTCATTGTGTGGGCATTGCGGGGGTGTGGTAGCACTCAATTGGTTTCACGCGGTGAATTAAAATGAGCGTGAAATTAGAGCCAAATAGAGGGAAAAAGGTTGATTACATAGGGTGGGTAAAGGGAGACTGAAGATTTTGAAAGCCAAAATTGATTAAATAAATTATAAATCACAAAAAAAACCTTACAACAAATGATATGAATATGAATTAATCCAAAAATAAATATATAAATTATCGTCTCAAGGGGAATATTTCCCTATTTTTACCTTTTTCTTCTAAAACTGATATTTCCCTAAAAAAACCTAGCTACAAAATATAAATTCTCAATATACTCCTTAAAAATATACAAAAACAATTGGCGACACTCACCTCCACGCGCTCCTCTTTGAGATCCACTTTCAGAGCCAACTGCTCCCTGAGCACCACATCCGGATAGTGGGTCTTGTCGAAGGTGGCCTCCAATTGCTCCAGCTGCTCCTCCGTGAAGATGGTGCGATGGCGACGCTTCCTCTTTGGTGGCGGCCCATGGCCCAAATGCCCCAAATGATGGTGTTGTCCGTGTCCGTGGTGGTGCGCTCCTAGATGCGGATGGTGCGGATGGGCGTGCGGGTGATGTGGGTGGTGGCCATGGCCCGCCGCCAATCCGGCGGCTGCTGCTCCGCTAACATGCGCCTGCATCTGAGCGGCGGCCACATGGGCCACGGCAGCCGCGTGCATGTAGTTGGGATAGAAGTTGGGGTAGGCCACTGTGTGTGCAGGAACGGAGCAGGGAAAAAACAATAAGAAAAATTCATTACTCCCATGGCTGTAATAACAGTCATATCATCATCATCCTCATATATGTAGAGGGTAGGAGTGGGGCCGGGGTAAGAGGAATATTCCTCGGTAAATCCTTAAAAATGCGCATAACATAAAACGCGGAAAAACGGCCGCCATGTTGGCTTTTACACCAGAGGAAAGAAAAGTAGAAGCACAAAAAAATGTTGGTTGCAGCAATTTTACTAAAATTTTACTAAAAAAAATAATTTTAAAAATAAAAAATATTCCTTATTTCAATTTAACTTTCCCCTTTATAGAAACTAAAATGTTTACTCCAATTGTAAGCGTGTGTGCGGCTTCCGTTTCCGGTTGCAGTGCAAGCCGAGGGAAACAAATTTATTGCGCCCGGTTTTTTTTTTAATATTCATATCCTGCGGGGGAGCCTTTGAATGAATTTAAGCGGGGATTCTGCATAAATCTTCGCCAGAGATCCACGCTCGAATCAACACAAGACCCAAGCTTGCGCCCAAAACCAAGCCCACTCTTAAAGCCAACCCCCCAGGTGGCCCAATCTGAGACTTAGGCCTCATGCAAATCCTCTCACCGCACAAAATCGAATGGAAATGGGAAACGGGGAAGGGGAAATGCGGAATCATCTTTCACGGATCATTGCCTAATTATGAATAATGCCATTCAGGATTCGCTTGAGGATGAGTGTGGTTCGGTTCAGTGGGTGAGAGGATGAGGATGAAAATAAGGATGTCGGGCTGTATGAGTGCATGAGTGGATTCCCTCAAGGTGTTTTCCCGTGTTTAAAGTTTGATGGGAAGCCGCATAAAAGAAGTTATTGAACAAGTACAGTGGTTACCAGGAAGTGGAAACTTTTCCACAATCAATATTATGAAAATATTAGGGAAGTTGAAGTAAACTATTAGGATATATTTGGATGCGTAACTAATTGAGAAGAAATATATTAAAAAATATATTTTAAATTATATTATTTAAGCAATAAATGATGATGAAATTTCTTTAAAAAATTATTAAAAAAATACCCTTTAGAATTTAAAAAAAAGCACTTCATTAAGAGCTAAGCTTACCCAGAAAATCAGAAGGCGAGGCGGCAAAACCGCTCGCCGCTGCCGCCGCCAGGTGACCCAGATGCAGGCCGGGATGCTGCAGCATGGCAGGAACCCTCTGCGGTCTAATTGGACTGGCGGCAGCGCTGGAACTAGAGTTGGAGTTGGGCGAGGCGGGGGACTCGGCTCCATTGCGCTTCAGTCCAAGACTGATGCCATTGGAGGTCAGTCCATTGGGCAGTCCTCCGTTGCTGCTGTTGTTGTTGTGGTTGCTGCTCGGGTTGGCCGTAGATCCGGCCTGCCGAGAACCCAGGATGCTATCGATGGTAAAGAGTGAAGCTGCGGCTGCCGAGGCAGCTCCTCCACCTCTCCTATCGTCCTCGAGAATGGTGACTCCAGACTGACTGCCATCATCGGAGGAAGGCGTCTGGCTCTGACTCTGCTGGTGGTGTTGGTGATGGGCGTGCTGCTGTTGCTGCTGCTGCTGGAGCACCGACTGCAATCGTTGGCCAAGGTAGCCGCACTGCTGGGAGTTCAGGAGCATGGCGGTGGTCAGGTGATATGCAGCCGAGTTACCAGGGCTTCGGGAGATCTGTCGCGGCGGCTGCTGCTGCTCGCCAAGATCGCTGGGCGATCGCTTGAGCGTGTAGCCCGCCGGCGGGGAGTTGGTCTCAACCATTTGGGCAAGTAGGGAGCCCGCAGGTGGTGGCGTCGGCGGTGGCGATGGACTGGGCGTGCTTACGACGGTGATCTTGAACTTGGCGGACTTTGGGGACGGAATGATGTTGTGGTCGGGCGTTGTGCTGGGGCCCTCTTCGCCACCTCCAGCTCCTCCTCCGTTGGTTGCGCCGCCCGCCAGCGTCGCCGGGGTCCACAGTGAGGAGAGAATTTTGAAGATTTTTTGTTCTACTTTCGAAGGCGAAAACAGTCTCGACGGCACTTAATTGTACGTATTATAACCCAAAAGGTTCACTAATAACTCGCAGATAAATCGCACTGAACACGCGTCGTGATTTCTCATAAATTTTCACAGGTTTTTCCTCAGATTTTCTTTACCGAAACGGATGGAACCCTTCTTGTCCGCTCGAGCTGCGAAACTGTTGTGAGAGCGTGTGCCACACGACAAGTTGTCGTCAATCCAGTTTTCACGGATACAGATGCAGGCCAGCAGTAGCAGATACACAGATACAGATACAGACGACCGGCTCTCTCTCGTTAAGCGGACATTTTTGGTCTCGGAACCAATGAGATTGCGCTGAAGCCACGCCCCCTTTTGCTACCATATTGTCTGGCCCTGCTCTCTCTCTCTGGCTGTGGCCCTCTCTTTCTACCCTCTTGTGCCCGGCTCTCGGCGTCCCTTTTCCACGAACGAACCATTGTTTCCGGTGGTTGCTGGCGTTCGTTCCTCCCAAGGTTGCCAGGAGAATGAAGAGGTCTTTGATGGCAAAAGATGGCGCTTCAGAGATAATGCTCCCCCCTGTGAGCCCCCCATTTCTTTATCCTATATTTTATTTTGTATTTTTTTCTCTGTTTTTCCTTTTTCACTGACAGTTATTTGTACAGATAAAGTCATCACTGACAGACCCCGTGGCCCCCCAGAAAGAGAGAGAGAAACAGAAAGCTGCACGGAGGGAGAACGAGAGAAAGGGAGTATGTGCAAACGAGATGGTTATACAGAGGTTATCCCCTTTGCTCCTGCTGGAAAGGAGAGCGTTGATAGTGTGGGGAGCATAAAAATGTTGCCTTTGGTAATGTGGAAAATCACCCAGGGTGGCGTCGTGAGCGCTCTTCTGCTCGGGGATTCTCCGCGCTGCTATCTCTGCCGGCGCAGTATCTTAAGAAGATAATGACTAAATTAATGCTTTTATGTTTTTGGCAACACATAAACATCATTATGCGCTCAATCCGCCCACGGAGATGCGCTGGTTCTTTTTTTTTTTGTTCTGCTTTCTTCCCCTACTCCAGCTTCTCGGGGGGTTAACGGTTTTACATAAGAGTCTGAGCGTCAAGGAAGAGGGGAATGGTATGTACTATATACGGAGGATCTATGGAAATCTACGGAGGGATTTATTAAGGAAATAAAAAGGGGCCGGTGGGAGAACTGAGAGAATTGGGGTAGACCCAACTACTACTATTAATCTTTACCATTTTGTGTGACCCTCTATAGCTATTGTGTATGTGTGTTGGCATATGAAAATATTTTAATCTAAAGTTTCCACATCAAACATGCCCAAGTGCAAAATCCCCAATGGCGCCCCGGGTCTCCTCTTCTACCATTCTCTTTCTCTCTCTCGAGTCTCTCCCCTCTGAAATGCAGGAAAACAAAAGCTAAGCTTCGACTAATGATAAATGCAACTCTGGCAAGCCACACACACGAACGCAAATGGAAAGTCAGCTGGGAAAAGCGAATGAAGCGAAAAGTCACCACAATGTCACCGATGTGTTGTGTGTATATGTGGGCTGTGTTTATATAGGGATCACTTGGAGAAAAGCGTCATCTTATATAAGAAACTCAAGATCTATATATTTATTGCAATATATGCTGTAGTGATAAGTATTTTTTAAAACATGGTTTATTTCATTTATAAGTTCCTTAATTTTCCTCTTAGTTTAATGAAACCTGGACTGATTGGCGACTTCTCGCATTTACAACTAAAATTAGTATAAAATTCAAAACTCCGTCGAATTCGAATATTTCTTCTGTGTAATACGAAGGACAAAGAGGAGGTCCTTAGTGGGAAGCTTACATAAATGCAGATACGTGTGCGTGTGTGTGTGTGGGTGTATGTATCCAACTGATTACAGGGAAAGCAGGGGGGAAAATGGCAAGGATTCCGCCGTCACATGCACATTCACATGCTGTAAAAGGATGAAAGGATGACGGCTGATGACGTCGACGAATGTGACCAAATGCTTTTAGAAATTATTGAATAATTAAGCAGAGGCAAGGACCGTAGGACAGAGGACCACCAGGAAATTTGCACTCCCTCCTTGCTCTAGCGAAATCTCTGTGGGTTATTTCTCAAACCCTTGCCACTTTTCTCCAGCTTTTCCATATTTGCCTTTGCACTGAACTTCTTACATGACCAAAACTCCCGACGGGAAAAGCGATGATGATGATGATGGAGAAATGAGAGCTGAGAAAGGGAAGAACAAGGAGGAGAGGGAGAAAAAGGGGAAGCACTGGGAGTGCGCTTCTCACTAAGCTCAAAAGTTGTGCTTCCGAGTTTTTACTATTTTTTTTCTTCTTGCCTTTCACGTTCTCAGTTTCTCCCTCACATTGACCTGTTTTTTTTTTCTGTACTACTCGCACTGTACACTTTTTGTTTTAGTTCGTAGATTGAATTTTAAATAAAAAATTATATTAACTCGTCTAAGTATTGTATTTGGTTAACCTCCCTTCCCTCTGCTTTCTCCTCATCGATTGGCTGTGCTAGCAAAAAAAGTTCAATTGGCAAAAGGACTAAGCAAACATTGTGGAATAAAAGGTTTTTCTACTTTTCCATTTGAGAACTGGGAAAACGAGTGGGATGCGGGGTCCGAAATCTTCTTCTTTTTCGAACTTTTTCTTGACTCCAGATGATGTTCGTTGATTTTTATTTCGATTTTCTGTTGCCATTTCTCTTTTCAACGCCCACGGCAACATTTGCCAGTTGTGCAAAATTAGAAAAGTTTTCTTCCACTCACTCTCTCTGATTGTTTCCTAGAAGCGGAAAAACATGGAAGAGGAGTGGGGAGCAGGAGGAGGGAGGCAAGCGTGTGCTTTGGGTATTTGTCTTGTTAAAAATTTAAGCGAATTTCCTCGAGAAGCCAAATCGAAATCAGCATCAGCAGCAGCAACAGAATCCGCACCAGAATCGCAATCTGATTCGGGATTCAGAAGCTAAATCCCTGGCTGAGGATTTGCAATTGCTCTGCGGCTGAGTCAGAGAGTAGCCTTCGCCGCTGCCTGGTGCTGACATTGATATGTTAATGAATCCGCATCATCGACAACGACGACGACGGTCTCTAATCCTTGCCAGCAGCAACCCCTGGAACATACCGGGATCCTTTATATGGTCACACCGGTTTTCGCTGAGCAGTCAATTAAATGTTTAATCCAAATATCGTTTTATGCGTCGCATAGAGAGCAGAGGCCGGCTTGTTCGGAGATTTGCCAAGCGAAAGATCCCAGCGACAGCTATGTGGACAGGGCAATAAGAGGGCAGAAGGTAGGTACACTGGGAAAAATATACGAAATATGTAATGGGAATTCCTTTGAAATCAGAAGCTCTACAAAGTAAAATTACAGATTGTTATAGTTCTGGTATATAAAGATATATAGAAATGTCTAGTAGGTATTATAAAGATACATGATACAATAAACTTACCGCGATCGGGGAAATAACTACGCTTTTTAACGTCATGAACTCCTGGCACACTTCAAATAAAAAAGCTTTGACCACAAGTTTCTTGCAGTGTACCAAATAGAAGCATTATCCAATGGCAATGGCAGTCGCATCAAGGGATCAGTCAGCTCAGGGATCGGGGGATAAGTTTAATCTTGCGATATGCGTAAGCGTGCAAATTGCATCGATTACGCATGGCGAGCGGGATGAAAGAGAGGCCAGAGCGGATCAGAAGGAGACAGGGATATCTAAATAGAGGGGAGACAACAACAAAAGGTGCAATAAAACCGACAACCCGAGAGCAGATGAATGGAGAACACGCCGCAGAGGAAGCGAGAGGCAGGGCGTGAGGCGAAACCCAAAATGGTTGCCGATCAAAGAGGAGTAAGCCAGAGAGAAAGAGAGAGAGAGAATATGAGGGGAAGAGAAGGAAATAGAGCATTAGCAGCTGCTTTTTTTTCCATCCCAAGGAAAAAGGATCTGTGTTTTGGGTTCATATTTGCGTAAACAAGGCCACACTTTGGTCAGAGCCCCCCATCCTCATCTTCTCTCCTGTTTGATATCGGGCTCAGCTTGTTTGATTTGCTTTGGGAAGAAGTTTCCAAAGGATAATGCCTGAATACAGGCTCCAGAGAACACAGGGGGGAGAACACAATAATAATAAAACTAAGTGAGAAATCAATTGACAGATAACCTTCCAAACAGAATTCTGGTTTCAAGTCCCTGCCCAGGGCCATTTTTATTGTGAAAGAAATCCCAATGGTTTAATCATTTAGTATTAGAATATTTAAGGGAAAAACGGAAGGAAATCCTTAAGATAAAAGTATAAAATAACTTGAAATTATAGCTTGGATCTCTAGTAAGTAAAAGAGATAAATTAAAATGTTCATTATAACAATTTATCGAAATTAAAGTAAAAAAGTAAAGACTGAAGTAAATACAAACCAAAAGTAAAAAAAGGGGCGAAAACAGAGCACAAACATTGCAAGATACATAAATATTATGTAATATATATCTCTACCCTTAAAATGGTATTGTTTTCCTTTTTGTACCTCCCCCTTAAAATGGAACAACCTCCCATAACAACTCTCCCTTTTTTGCTGTCATAATTTTTCGTGTTGATTTGATGCGTAATTAAAAATTTAAATTATATAGCTCTAGGATATTTTTTGGGGGCGTGTAGGTGGAAGAAATATGGAAAAAGGAGCAAGAATGAATGGCCAGAGTCAAATATTTGTCAAGTGGAAAGGCAGGGAAATGTCAGGAGGTGAAAAAAGGAGCAATCCCATTTGGCAAGAACTTTTACTCTTTACCGAAAATTACTTCAACTCAATTAATTAACCGAGTTTTCTTTGCAGAGAGAAACCCCATTTACATCTCCCTTCATTGTTAACTTGGCCCATTGTGTGTTTGCTTTAACTCTTTTTGGGCAAATCTCGCAAATCAGAATGCTGCGACTGTTATTTCCCAGGTTCCTTCTTGTTTCTGCTCCGTCGTCGTCGTAGTCGTCACCTCTAGACAAAGCCAAACAAATTGGCAAACAA